GGGATCATCGTAGTAATAGTCATAAGGGTCCTCCTCTTGACCCAGATCTGAAAAAGAGGTTATAAGAGCAAGGATGAGTATTCACAATACTCAGCAAATTATCATAGAAATATGTTATGCATTGACATATAGTAGGGTTCTTTGCAAAAAGCAGTAATAAACAATCTGAGAGAGTTATAGCAAGAATTTATAAACATATAGACTTTAGATTTCTAACCAGGGTACCATATGAGTCCCGGTACTCAACTCCATGAGTACGGCTATTCGAATAGTTTCAAGGATATTCTACTGCAGCAGATGTACGCTTTACCCGCAGTCCACGACTTGCTGATAATCATCGGCTTTAGTCATGGCCTAGTATTAAGTCATTAACAATTGTGGCACCTGTTCCATGAACTTATATCCTCATATGCTCTGAACGTATTGTTAACAGCAGCAAGAGGAGTTACGGCGTTCCCGAGGTATTTAAGGGGAACTGATCGTATGACACCACGTCATCTCGATCAGGGTTTAGAAATATACCATATAGTTTATACTCGAGTATCACAAACAATTTACCTGTACATGGTAATGGTTAAAGTTGCCCTTCGCGGCTATAGTTGCCTCCTGTGCGAGGACTTAAAAATAAGAACCACTATACAGAGGTGCCATATTGCTAATTAACATAATAACTAGGTCTGTCCCCATTCTAGAAACTGCGGTCGTACCCGTTCGTTCGACATAAGTACCTGGTAATAACTATATCGATCGAGACAGTACTAGCCACCCGGAAATCAACCAAATCTTACGTACTGTCCCAATCTAAGTATAAGGTATTTTAACCAGATTGTAAGCAAAGTAAGCAATACTAAATTATCTGGGTTTCTATGGTTGATTTATGCATATAAAATAGAATATTGAATAGAAGGCTATAAATAAATAATTTGTAGAATATAGGCTTAAATGATCAAAGGTATATGGTAACTTGCCTTGCTCGATGTCCTGAGATTGATTGATATTATCTATTGAGTCAGAAGAACCCTCAAGACCTAGGGTTATACATATAAAATTCAAATTCAAAAAGGAATTCAAATGAAATCCAAAATAAGAAAAATAGGGAAAATAAAATAAAATAGAAAAAATAACAAAAGGGGGCACAAAAGATAGAGAATGATTTTAGAAGAATATTGGTCCAAGTTTCACTGGAATTGGATCTATATTTTAAAAGATATGGGCTTCTAAAGTTTGAAAATCAATTAAATGTGAAATGTTACTGTGTGCGGGTCCCACCTGTCAGTCTCTCTCTCTCTCTCTTCTCTTCTTCTACCTCCAGCCGTTCCCCAAAGGCGGCCGGCGGCGCTAGGGTTGGTGATTGCAGTGGTGATGGAGGGGGAAAGGGGTTGCGGCCGAGGAGGGGAGGGAGCTAGAGTTCTCCGGCGACGGTGAGCGGCGGCGTACGGGTTAATTTGTTGTGTGGATGGCCTAGCGGCTAGGGCGGTGGTGACATGGTTAGGCCGTGAAGGCGATTGGGATGATATGAGTTAGACAAGGCTAGGGGAGGGCTCCTAGAGCATCTACGAGGTACCTAGATGGATTCCGGCAGCTTGCCAACCTTTGGCAAGGCGCGGAGGGTAGTTGCCAACGAGCGCCTCCATAGGCGGCGGCCGAGCTCACGTCGGCAGCCCAGAGGGTGGCATGATAGTGCAAAGGGATTGCTAAAATGGAATCTAGGGAGTATGTAGATGGTTGAAACGGAAGAACTCACCGAGATCGGTTGAAATGACGGATTGCGGCCGGAAAAACTTCGCGGCGGTGAAGAACAGAGCAATGCGGGAGCGGCGGTGCTCGGCTTGGTGTGGCGAGGTAAAACTCGGCGCAGGGCTTCGGTTAGGACTTATGCTAGAACATGATAGGATATAGGTGTTCTAAGGGATATTTAGGGCGGAGGATGAATGGAAGGGTGTGGAGTCGATCGCGCACAAGGTGTTCGACCAACGGGCGATGGTGGTTGATGGAATGGATTGGTGAAGCAGAGCTTCGGGGTTGTGGGGCTATGGTTATTGATGATCGATGATGGGCAAGGAAGGGATTGGGGTCCTATTTATAGGGCTAGAAGAAGTGGATGAGCTCGGGCACCGTCATCGCCATGGATGAGCTCGAACTTTAGATATGGCTGGGGTGGAAAGGGCTGTGAGAGGGCGGCCAAGATCAATTTGAGTGGCGGAAGACCACGTTTGAATACTTACTGGCGAAGGATTGGCTTGATCGCGAGTAGAAACGGCTGGCGACGTGTTGGCGCCAATCCGGGCGCGACGTGCGGCGGCGGCGAGGGTGGAAACGGCCGACTCGGGGGTGAATGGTTTGAATTGTGAGGGGGGAAACCACCGTCTAACTTTAATCCAACCATGCGGCAAGAATTGGCGTGATTCACCCCGGGTAGAAGCGCAATCGCACTCGGCGGCGGCTTGGACGGGAGCGCACGGCGTCGAGTGGCGATTCCTTGCGGCGGTCTTCATCCCGGCTTTGTTGTCGCCGTGATTGGTGCGGCTGCGGTGGTCTGAGGGCGTCAAACGGCTAGCGGCGCGCCAAGGCGATCGGGCACGCGCGATCGATCTCGAGACCGACGCGCGGCGGCACGGCGCGCGGCTAAGTCGGATGTCCGAGCGGCGCACGTGAAGGGGAGGAAGAAGCAAAGAAAGCCACGGTTTTGAGTGGGGTGTGGTCCCCTAAGATCAATTCTAGACTTTGCACAAGATTGGGTGGTGGTTGGGCTGCTCTAGTTGGGCTGGGCATTTCATCGAGCACCTTATGTGCAAAGAACAGTGAATTTCAGAAATTTTGATTATTTTCCTAGAGAAGATTGAATTTAAACTATGAATTTTAGAAGGGTTTCACTAGGGTTTGAAGTAAAGCAAATCCTCACTAAAGTTAGGGTAAACTAAGGAAATAATCTATAGTTTGAAATTTGAGAGAATTTGCTCAAATTCACTAAGGTTTGGAATAAAGGGAATATTTAGGGTAAATTAGTAGGGTTCTAAGGAAGTAACACTTGAACCAATTAGAAATCAAATAAATATTTAAAACACACAAGATTAATTAAAAGCCAGCATGATGCAGTTAAATTTTAGTTTAGAATTTGAGAATGTTACAGCGTGGCGATGAGGAGATGGGGACGCTGAGGAGACAGGAAGCGTAGTGGATGACGGCGGCGAGCAGGAGGACGGGGCGTTGTCGTGGGGGCGACGTCGGTGCTGCCCGCCTGGATCGGGTGGTACTTTTCCGCGTAGAACACCGTGCTCGCGGCCGTCGCCGCCTCCCCCGCCACTCATCTCGCCGCCGGTGGCGCTTCCCTCCTGCGCGACTCGCTGGCCGGGACTGAGCAAGAGGCGCTGCTGGTGGCACCGGCGGGGAGGGGCGTCGGTGCCGCCCGGTGGCTGTTTGGAGCGAGAGGGAAGGGGCGGAGCAGGATTTGACGACGTGGGCGGGGATTTTGCGATGGGGAAGAGGCGGATTTGGCGACAATTTCTTTTGAGAAGTGCTAATTGGAGGGTTAATGGGCCGGTGCTAATTGCAATTACAACTCGTTGCTTTTTATATTAGTCTGGACTAGGGGCCTGTTCACTTTGCTGCCATTTTTAACCTTACCAAATTTTGATAAAGTTGCTAAAAAAATAGCTACATTTTGTTTGCTACCAAATTTTGGTAAATTACTAGCAAAGGTGCCCGTGCGTTGCAACGGGAAGTGTACAGAAAAAAAATTGAGAAAAAATTACATTATGTAATTAATTAAAATATTTGGTATTTTTAAGTAGGTAGGTGTATAATTAAATCAATTTACAAGTAAAGCAAGTGTGCAAAATAAAATGACATGGTTAAATTTAATTTTATTAAATTCTCCATTATTAGTTACGCTTTTTGGAATTTTATTGGAATTATCAGAGCTTAAATTGCTAATTTTTAATAATACAAACATCATTTAACAATTATTTAATTGGAAAAAATAAAATCAAAATCCTCCTATGTTTGGGCCGAATATAGCAAAGTTTATATCCCCTCCCTTTTGTCTATTCTATGTGTCTGGCATGTTTTCTTTCTCCATTGAAGTCCATTTTGCATCCTCCATTCGGTGGCCCAATAGGCCGGCGGCCCGACGCGGGAGCTGCTAGAGCCATCCGATCGAATGGATGCTCCATATTAATCCTAACCTAAATAAATATACCTAAACCCTAACCCTAACCATTCACTCCCCCGGCCCCCCGCGCCCCCCACCCCAAGCGACGACGGCGGCGCGGCGCCCCCCCTCCCCACCTCGAGCGGCACAGGCGGCGGCATGGAGCAGCGGCCAGCCTCCTCTCCCTCGCCATGGGGCCCCGGGAGGGCTCGACCGTGGCGAGCGGCGACGCCTCCCTTCCGGCGGGAGGGGAGGCGGCGGACAGGGGCGCCGGCGCCCTTTCCTCCGCCGGATCCAGCGGGAGGGGAGGCGCCGGCGGCTCGCCGGCGTCCCAGCGGCAGCGGCGCCCCTCCTCTCCGCCGGATCCAGCGGGAGGGGAGGCGGCGGCGGCGCCCCTCCCCTCCACCGGATCTAGCGGGAGGGGAGCTGGTGGCGACCTGTGACGGCAGCGGCGGTTCGGCGGCGGCGGCGGCTGTTCGACAGCGACCTCCCCTTCGATCTATTTTTTTTGATATATTTGTGTGAATATGCTTCCTCCGATTTTATTTTTGTGATTGAATTCCGATTGGGAATTTTTTTGGATGGGGGGTGATTGAATTCCGATTGGGATTCTAGGGGGAGGTGATGGACGAAAAATTGGTGTACAGATGAAGTGACGACCGGAAAAATACGAATATTTATATTAGTTATAGATATAAGAAATCCTACTAAAATTTTGACAAATTACCATTATGGTAACTATGCTAAAATTTTGGCATTGGTTGAAAAATGACATCAAAGTGAACAGGCGCTGGATGCACTGTCACCCAGTGGGAAATTTACCAAATACTTCCCCGTGGCGGCGTAAAAGAAGGAAAATCTCCCATCTCTGTCTCCTCCGCTCCGCTCCGCTCCTTGCGCCGCCAAGACGAGTCGCGGCTGAACATAACAGGGGAGGGGCGGCGATCTCCCTCTCCATCTCCATCTCCATCTCCATCTCCATCTGGCGAGCAGAGCAGGGGAGGGGAGGGGATCCTCACCTGGTCAGCCTCTTTCTGATTCATCTCTCTCTCTCTCTCTCTCTCTCTCCCATCGGGACTGGAATTTGCTTGCGTTCGTTCGTTAGCCCTAGCTTCTCTTCTAGATCTGGAAGAAGCTCTTCTTTTAATTTCATAGCCTTAACCTTAATACAAGTAACAGTTTGTTTGTTCCCCGAAATATTTGGGGGTTCAATTGAACCCCCATGTCCCAAGTTGGATCCGCCCCTGCTTGCAGAGGTTTATTGCTGTGACTTTGAGGGCTTATGAACCATATTCTCCTTGCAGGAAAGTGTGGGTAAAGCGCAGGGCAACAAGAAATGGCAGCATTCCTGAGGTCAAAATGTTCGTCAGGTATTGAGATTTGAGAATGCCTCAACGTTTATATGATTGTACGGATAGGTTTGCAAATGCCTACTAGACACATTTGGCTTGTGCAAAGTTAGGATATATGTTCTACTCCATAAACAAACCATGGACAAAGTTATGGCTTCTAACGATAGCTGTTGGTTGGACCTAAACCAGTTTAGATTGGCTTTTAGCCTAAATTAACCAATTGTTGATTACTTTTGGGATTTGATCTAGTGCGAAATGATGATTAATTCATAGCATTCAAACACGTGCACAATTAAAATTGTTGATTCTGTGCGACTGATGGCCTTTAACCATAATAAAACAGTATCTTATACCTTACAAGTGCTCTTACCTCTAGTTAGATTTTTTTGCCTCTGCCTGATGGCTTAATATTTTTAGCTTATGGTGCTGTGGTATGATGCTGATCTAATTTGCATATTGCTCATGGTTGTTCTTCATCTTTTTAGTTGGACGTACCTTGATGGGAGGCCTTGGGAACAATCTATTTGGAGCCGTTAACTCATCTGTTGAAACGGTGTCAAGACCATCTCATTGTGATCCTATCTTTCAGGTATGACTTCTTCTATCTAGCAGAAACATCTTGACATCACTTCTTATAGCAACTTGAAAAGTCTAAAATTAATTAATGGACAAACGTCTTGTTCTTTTCACTAGAGAACCCATGGCACAGTAGACAAGCATATATTTATTCCACTATGATGTGGTTTTGTTGATATGATTGAATACCTTTTATTATTTTTTTTACGATCGACATCAGGGATTTGCTCAGTTGTCAAACTAGATTGTTTGGCAGATTGGACTCCATCTTAGTATCTTATACGTTTCTTTTTTGTCGTACTCTTTTAGCCATTCTTTAGGAGGAATTTTTATTGTTCTTATCTCAAAACAGCAGGGACTCCATGTCTTGGTATTTTAAAATAAATTTTATGTGCCCTGCTATTCGTGCGACGATAATAGGATTGTTGCTGGGTGCCGGCATATGTAGTTCTTTGAAGTTAGTTATCTCATCATGGATGTTTTCCATGTGGAATAAAACTTTAACTCGTGTTCTCATTCTGGTTTCAGCAAATCAGAACATTCATCCAGATGAGAACAAACCTAAAGGTGGTAGACAACTCTGGTGCCAAGCGCGTTATGTGCATCCAGTCCTTGAGGGGGAAGAAAGGAGCGAGGCTCGGGGACACTATAATTGGATCTGTCAAGGAAGCACAGCCTCGTGGTAAGGTGAAGAAAGGAGATGTGGTCTATGGAGTGGTTGTCCGTGCTGCTATGAAGCGAGGACGCAACGATGGCAGCGAGATCCAGTTTGATGACAACGCGATTGTCCTTGTGAACAACAAAGGCGAGCTGATTGGCACTCGTGTATTTGGTCCTGTTCCCCACGAACTCAGGAAAAAGAAGCATCTCAAGATCCTAGCGTTAGCGGAACACATAGTTTGAGATGCTTACATACCTGGCAACCTACCTGTTAGTTCTGCAGAATGAAATGAGCATGGTGCTGTCTCAAGAGTATTCCACCGTTGTTTTGATCAGTTCTGTTTGCAATAATGTACCCTCAAAAGATTAAATGAGCTGATGCCCTGCAGTCAGTCCTAGACAAATCAGATTCTGTACTACTATTTAACCTCTGTAGTATTGCATTCCATTCAGATGGAAACGCATACATTGCTTATGTTCTCTTGTTAAACCTGAAACTGCAACTGAACTCTTGTGCTTTCTGATCTCAAAGTGTTTCGGTTCATGTGTTACATTGTGTGATCATGCCATCCTATTCCTAGTTTCCTACCATTGTCCTGCTGGGACATGCAGAAGTTATAAAGCTTCATCTACCCACATATTTCTCTTTGCTTCTGATTTCACCTTAATCTCCCAATCAAATATGAGTATTTTACTCTGTACATCAAGTCATCAACTGCAGATGATCAGATATCTGTTTGTCCTTGATCTTGGACTTGGAAGAAGCATGCAGAGTTTGAAGGAATGTGTTGAGTTTGTAATTTGTTGTTGCCAAATTTGTCATGGTCAGAGTCATTACCTCTCCTATAATTAAGCTGAACCTATGGAGATAAACAAGGCACACTGGTAACTAATGCTCACCTTGTTTCTCTCCTCATCTCTCAGACTCAAACTGCATCCTGACCAGAAAAAAGAAGAAGAAAAAAAAAACAAGAAGCAATGCAGTCCATGGAGATGGCCATTGCATGAGAGTATGAGACAATCTTGTTCTTGTTCTTGTTGTTGTTGCAGCATCGCAGGCCAAGAAGTGAGGCGTCGCCATTGCATGGATCTTGGCGACGATGGAGCCATACGCGCCGTTCTCATCGCCGCCGCTGCGGGGGGCGGTGGCGGCGGCGGGGCGGCGGTCGAGGCCGGCGAGCCGGAGCAGCAGCATCGGCGGCTGGAGCGGTAGCGGGAGCGGCAGCGCCAGCGCCGAGTACATCAGCCTCCGCGACGTGCTGGTGGAGGGCGGCGGCAGCGGCAGCGGCGGCGGCGGCGGCGGCGGTGGCGGCGGAGGAGGCGGAGGCGGAGGCGGCGGAGGTGGAGGTGGAGGAGGAGGGAGCTGGCGCGAGTACTCGAGCCACGATATCCACGAGTTCGACGCGTCCAACATCGGGATCAGGAACCACCTGCTGAAGCACGCCGCGTCGGCGTACCTGCAGTCCGCCGTCGTCGTGCCGCCGCGGGAGCAGGGGTGCCTCGCCCGCCTGTGGCGCCACGTCGTCCGGCTGCGCGCCGCCCGCGGCGGCGGCGGCGGCGGCGGCGACGGGGGAGCGCGGGGGCGCGGCCGCGGCCGCGTGCTCCTGCGGGCGTGCTCGTGGCAGGGCTGCGTCGACGACCCCGCCGAGCTCTGCGCCTCGTTCCTCGCGCGCTCGGCGCGGCGCATCGCCGCCTTCCTCGCCGGCATCTGGGCCTAGACTAGCCTCGCCGCGGCGCACCGCGGCGCGCCGCCGCTCGCCGTGCGCGCGCCCACGGATTCTTCTCGTGATCTCGTCTTTTGCTGCTACTATTACTGCAGCAGAATAGCACGTAACTACACTACATTATTAGGAGAGGCAGACACAAAAAATTATATATATTAAATTTCTTCCAAGAAAAAGGCTGATTACCGATTTACTAAACCTTGATTTTTTTGGGGTTTTTTTCTTTGTTAGAGAAAGCTGGCAAGTAATTAAGATCAATGGATGTAATTTTGCTATTGATCTATAATTCTGTAATCTCTACGTAAAGCTGCTACTTTTGTAGTAAAGTAAGCAATGATTTTTTTTTTTTGCACATCTCAATATAAGGATGGTGAGATAAATGAGTTGGTTTAGTTTGCTATAATGCCAAAATATACTAGGTAATGTCAAAATTAGTTAAGTTCCAGACTTTGGCAATATATATGTGTATTGTTGTGAAGTGTCAATAATTTGGTAGTGCATAATTTGCCTTCAAATCAAAATGATCCCATATACATAAATGTATACGAGAAACAACAAGGACCATTTTGGATTGGTGTCGAAATGTCCTTACCAATAATTTAGTAGTTTAAATAATAGTGTATGTGGTTTGAAAGCTAAATTATTAACATTGCCAATGTCCAATTTGATGCTTTCTATATTATATTCGAAGCTTAGCCCTAAATTGGACTCAAACCATATACTACTAAAATATTTTGTATTGATATTACTCAAAGCTTTGATACAACAAAGGTTTTTGATATTACTCAAAGCTTTTTCGTGGTATCAAAAATTATCTAGATTTTGACGCTACCAACATTTTGATAGTGTATTGAACCAAATAAGCCCTAAGTCCATAACTTGTCTTACGAGTATAGTTTGTGAAATATCTTTGTGAGAATTATTGGCAAGGCTTTTTTTCCCTTTAGAAATACTCTTTTACGAGGATTTTAGAAATATATTTAGTCTCATATCAATGAGTAATGAACAATTGAACATAGCTTTGACAAGATTTGTTGCAGATGATGTACTCCCGCTGTCTCAGTATGTAGCAATTTAGGATGGGATTAGACATACTCCCTCTGTACTCGTAAAGGAAGTCGTTTTGGACAGGGACACGATCTCCAATATACAACTTTGACTTCTTGTTTCTATAAAAATATTTATTGAAAAATGATATATGTATATTTTTATGAAAGTATTTTTCAAGACAAATCTATTTATATAATTTTTACATTTTCAAACTCAACAACTTGAGAGTTATTCATAATTTATATTCCCAAGATTTGACCTAAACATTGTTCTAAACGACTTCTTTTACGAGTACGGAGGGAATATTCTAGAACTATGAATATACTCCATTTTTGCAGTCCTAGAATGAGACGAAGGAAGTAAGACATTGATATTGTTAACCTTTTTTAAAACCATTTTTTTCCACCATTGAGATATTGCAAGTGCAACCTTGATGTCAGGGGAGTAGTACAGTTTACAAAGCCCCTTGGCCCTACCCTACCCATCTTTAAGAAGGTTCAGCTAAGACTAGTATACCAACCTAGCTCTACATAGACGATCGAAGGAACCGCCATAGTGATTTGATTTCAAACAGAAAAGACCATTGGCGATCAATGAAATCATGACATCCATCCCCTACTACAGTGATACGAGACGAGACTAAACGATAGGAGACAAATTTCCGCTTTATTTTCCTCTTTAATTATCCTCAGGGCGACGCATCTGGACCGTCCATCCAACCCCCCCCCCCCACCCCCAAAAAAAAAAACTAATCTAACCCTAATTTAATCATCATCAACAACAACACAAAACGCACGCACGCATTTCGAATTCGAAAAGAGAAAAATAAAATCCCCCCGCAGTTGCAACGGTCGGCTCCCCCCTCCATTTTCCCCATCGCCCTCCTCCGATTCCTCGCCATCCTCGCCGCCTCCACGCATCTCTCCATCCCTCTCGACGCGGGATCGATCGATAGGCGATAGCCTTCTGGGGCTTGGCGCGGCTCGGATTCGAAGTGGGGGTTTGGCGCGGCGGAGGAGATTGGGCGTGGATTTGATTTCATTTCGGGGCGCGGTGGTTGATGGAGATGGAGGAGGAAGGGAGCGGGAGGGGAGGGGATGGCCCCGCCGCTCATGGCCGGATAGGTGACACGGCTTCGCTTGGTGCTTCGTGCGTGCGTGCGGGTGTGGGTGTGTTTTGGGTTGGGTTTGGTTTGGTTTCTGACATGGTCTCGATTCGATTTGCTTGCAGGCGGCGACTCGCCGGTGATGGTGTCGTCGGCGTCGGTCAGGAAGACGGTGAAGATGTCCGAGACCTGCGACTTCATCCCCTACGTCGACGACGACGACGACGGCAACAGCGAAGGTTCGCGCGCGCGCCGCGCCATTTCTAGATCTCGAATTCTCGATACATCGCGCTGGATTTTTTTTGAATTTGTCTGAATTTTTTTCTCGTTGGACTGCGCGGTGACGACCAGAGGAGAATTCCGCCTCGTCGGGGATCCTCCCGTGCGACGGGATGCAGCACGACACGCCCGATTACATCAGGAGGGGCGCCGCGGCCGCCAGGCACAGGATCGCGCCGCTCGAGCTCTTCTCGGGCCCCTCGCCGCCGCAGGGCCCGCCTTCTCCTTCTCCGGCCATCGGCGGTGCCGCCCTGGAAGCCACCTCCAACGATGGCGTGGCCGAGCCGCAGGTTCATCCTCCCGAAGGCATTTCTAGCATCATAAGCACAGGTGGTGGAGAGCAGGAGACCGCCACCATGGGTTCACAAAGCGTGCATGAAACACTTCACATTGAGGAAAATGAGGTGATGCTTCGAAAAATTTGTTCTCCCTTTGTCCCAAAATATAAGAATTTTTAGAATAGTGCTAAGTCAAACATTTTTAATTTTGACTATTAATAGAAAAAATGATCAATCATGTAAAATTGATGTTACCAGATTTTATATTTTGGGACGGAGGGAGTACTAAGAAACAAGGAGGTACTAGTTACTGCTGTTCTTGGTGCTTAATGGAAGGTGATGTATTTGTTGCAGGGAAAATGCAGCTGCTGTGGACAGCTCAAGCAGGAGTACTCTCTGCTTTTGAGGGAGAAGGAAGAGTGCAGGAGAGTTTTGGAGGACTTGATGAGGGAGAACGAGCTCAAGAGCAGGGAATGCCACGAGGCTCAGGCGTCCCTGCACGAGCTGAGGATGGAGCTGATGCGAAAGTCAATGCATGTTGGCTCTTTGGGTAAGAACTCAAAATTTGTGTGGCTAATCTACTCCAGCTTTCCAATGGTAGTAGGCGTAATGGAAGATTAAGTTCGGCTGTGATTGGAGAAATGAATAAGTTGGATGTAAATATGTCAGCTCAAAGTACTTGTAGGAATTCGCTATTTATGTAACCAGTAGTTACAGTGGTTGTTTAAGTATCTCATCAAAAAAATGTCAGCATGCTTGCTGAGTGGCTGAATGCAAGCTTTCTTTTTCATCATGCAGCATTTGCAGTGGAGGGGCAAGTGAAAGAGAAGAGTCGTTGGTGTCAGTTGCTGAACGATTTGAGTGAGAAATTTAAGGTAACTGGTTTCATATTCAAAGTTTGTTTACTACTCATGTACAAATAGCACAATTGTCTGGGAAGTCAAAGCAGCATATTTTATTTTATTTTCAAAAAAAACCACAGGCATTGAAGGCAGAGCACCAGATTTTACTACAAGAATCGCTTGAATGCAAAAAATTTGTGGCAGATGCTACACAAATGACTACGACAATCCAACAACATGGTATAAGTGTGGCATTTCAACTAGTTGTACACCCTTTAGTTTGTTGCGTGTATATATTTCTCCACTTCCTAGAGTTGGCAACACTAATATCTTAAATGGAACAGTGAACCAATATGCAAGTTTGGAATGTGAGTTTAAGGATCTCAAAGAGAAGTTCACTGAGGAGACAAAAGAAAGAAAAGATCTTTACAACAAGCTTATAGAGGTCAAAGGTTGGTTTGATTTGTTGCTATTTGTTGGTTTGATTTATTGCTACTGCAACAGATGGTGATAATAATAGACTTACTAATTACTATGTCTTGCGTATTGATCAGGTAACATAAGAGTTTTTTGCCGGTGTCGGCCATTAAATGGTGAAGAAATTGAAGAAGGGGCTTCGATGGCAGTTGATTTTGAATCTGCAAAAGACGGCGAACTAATTGTCAGAGGGCATGTATCTTCAAAAAAGGTTTTCAAATTTGATTCTGTTTTCAGCCCTGAAGAAGATCAAGGTAAATCCCTTCATAACTAGTACAGTTTATCAACCTGTATCCTTGCTCAAGTTTTTAACGATGTAATGTTCTCCGATTTCTCTACAGAAAAGGTGTTTGAGAAAACTGTGCCTTTTGCAACTTCAGTGCTGGATGGGTACAATGTTTGCATATTTGCTTATGGACAGACGGGCACTGGTAAAACATTTACAATGGAAGGAATTGAAGATGCTCGAGGGGTTAACTACAGAACTCTAGAGGAACTCTTTCGAATTACCAAAGAAAGACAAGGCCTTTTTCAGTATGAGATTACTGTCAGCGTTTTGGAAGTGTACAATGAACAAATTCATGATTTGCTGCTGACAGGGACTCAGCCTGGTGCAACAGCCAAAAGGTATGTTTCTTGTGAATTCTAACAGCAACATGCGAGAACCAATATATCATGGCACTTCCTTCACAGGCTAGAAGTAAGGCAAGTTGCAGAAGGAGTTCATCATGTGCCAGGACTTGTTGAAGCACGTGTTACTAATATGAATGAGGCCTGGGAGGTCCTGCAAACTGGAAGCAAAGCTAGGGTTGTCGGTTCAACGAATGCTAATGAGCATAGCAGCCGATCACACTGGTCAGTCCCTTAAATTCATACTTTTCTTTGACACATTTTTCATCCATTTATGCTAAAGTTGTAATTATTAAATCCTAACCTCGTTAATTCTGTATCAGTATGCATTGTGTAATGGTCAAAGGAGAAAACTTGATGAATGGGGAACAAACAAAAAGTAAATTGTGGTTAATTGACCTTGCCGGGAGTGAGCGAGTGGCAAAGACAGATGCTCAAGGAGAACGGCTGAAAGAAGCTCAAAATATTAACAAGTCCCTTTCTGCACTTGGAGATGTCATATCTGCTCTTGCAACTAAGAGCCAGCATATACCGTTCAGGTTGTGAATTACTGTCCTTTAAGTCTAATTTTTCATTAGTACTGTCTTATGAGCCCAGTGCCCACTGACATATTTATTGTCCCAAATTGACAGGAACTCAAAGCTAACGCACTTGCTGCAGGACTCGCTAAGTATGTAGAACTTTTTCCTTGAGTGGTAGGATTTACATCTATTCTTTATTTTTTTGGTAATAATGTTTGCAAACAAAACAGGTGGAGACTCCAAGACTTTGATGTTTGTTCAGATCAGCCCAAATGAGAACGATGTGGGTGAAACTCTTTGCTCGCTAAACTTTGCGAGCAGAGTGCGGGGAATAGAGCTTGGACAAGCAAGAAAACAAGTTGATGTTGGTGAACTGTCAAGATATAAGCTGATGGTACAGTAGTACTATGTCAATATATATACTTTTAGTAAGATCTTAGATTCCATCTTTTTTTAATCTGAATTCATACTGCTCGTTTTGCTAGGCTGGGAGAGCCAAACAGGACAGTAAGAATAAAGATGCTCAGATTAAGAGCATGGAAGAAACAATCCAATCGCTTGAAGCAAAGAACAAGGCCAAAGACCTACTCACTATGAATCTCCAAGAGAAGGTACTTCAAGCATCTTTTATCTTCGGCTGCTTAATTGGTTCCTCCAGCGCCTTTGCAATATAAACACCTTAATCAGTTAATCACCAATTCACCATTACTTTCTAATAAAGATGTTGTCCTCATACTTTCATGAATGAAGAATTCACATGCTTACAGTTATTTACTTGCTCTCTCATTATATATCCAGATCAAAGAGCTGGAAGCACAGCTGCTGGTTGAAAGGAAGATAGCGAGGCAGCACGTCGACAACAAGATCGCCCAAGATCACCTGCATCAGCAGCAGCAAAGCAAGAAGCCAGAAAACTCACCGTGCCCGACGAGAAGCCCCATGGCAGAGAGGAACCTCAACTCCACAGCAGAGAAGCCAGTGACGTTGCTCAAAGACCTCGGAATCGCGAGGCAGATGTTCTCCGACAGCAACACGGACACCTACAGCATCAACCACCTGATGTCCATGTCGTCGGAGAAGGAGAACAACCCTGCCGGCGGCGCGCAGCCTACAAAAGCCAGAAGAGTCTCACTCTGCGGCGGAGCTCACCAGCAGCCGGCTGCTCCTCCTCGCCGGGGCTCGCTGATCCCGCTGCCGCGGCGGAACTCACTGATGCTGCCTCTACCATTGCCCAAGCCCGCAACACCCGCGGCGGCGGCGTCGCCGCTGGACATGATCACCGAGCAGTGCTCCTCGCCGCTGGTGATCGCCCCCAACGACATCAGGGGTGGCGGCGGCGGCGGCGGACGGAACAAGAGGATCATCAACAGCATCCTGCGTCGCAGCCTGCAGAAGAAGGTGATCATCAGGCCGCCACTAATGGCAGCTCATCAGTCAGGGAGGAGGGCCGGCGCCGGCGTGGCTGGTACAACCACCCATGGCGGCGGCGGCGGCGGGGTGATGAGAGCGCGGCGTGTGCCGGTGAGCGGCGGCCGGGGAGGAGGAGGGGTGCAGCACAACAGGGAGAAGGAGAGAGGGTGGAACAACGGGACCAGCCTCAGGCAGCTCAACTAGAGTGATACTCCCTCTATCCCATAGTATAATGGATTTTGAAAAGAAGTGATATATCTAGGACTATGAATGATAGTCATAGATACGTCGCGTCCCTCTAGAATCCCTTATATTATGGGATGAAGGGAGTATTATGCATCGTCACTCAGCTCAGACGGGTGAGTGAAGGAGAGACTTATAGAATTGGGAGTAGTTTTAGGAGGGTTTCAGGTGTTGATACCTCATTAGATTGTGTGGTGTCGTGGGTGTGCTTGAGTTCTCGAGTATTGTGAGAGAACTCTTTGCTGATGTTTCATTGTGTTCATAGATTGATGATTGGATTGGTTGATCTGGCTGCCAGATCTTAGATTGCTGGAGTGTTTGATCTGGCTGTCAGATTCTATTTTACGAAACTGTTTCTTGCTCGGATCAGGTTTACAAGTGTTTTCCAGTTCAAGTTTGATCAAATTCTGTAATGATCTCAAGTGTTTTCCAGTTCAAGTTTGATCAAATTCTGTAATGATCTCATTTTCTTTCCTTCGCGACAGAGAGGAATTAAGTTCGAGTTTGATCAAGTTCTGTAATGATCTCATTTTCTTTCATTCATGACAAAAAGGAATTAGAACATGACGGGAGAAAAAAAAAGTGAAAATTCATGCTTACCCCCTCCGTCCCAAAATAAGTCCAATCCTAGCTACGAACCTGAACACATGTGTGTCCAGGTTCATAGCCAGAGTTTGGCTTTTTTTGGGACAGACTAGTAGGTTAAAGAAAAAATTGTTGCAATCTGCACATTTTGGTATAGAAAACTGGTGATACAATAGAACCATGCGCTTGCATAAACATTAAGCAGTTTAGGCCCTCAAGCCAGACTATGGTGATGCATAACTTATGGCTATCATACATGTCCCATACATCGAGCTCCTCGGTTTGTTTCTCCAACACAAATATGTTATAGAGACTAGACTAAAAACTAAAGAGTACAAAATTGGTACCACGGCCTCAATTCAACAATTTAGCTCCACGTCCGCTTCATTTCTGCTTTCCTTAGCTCCTGAAATTTTCGAGAGAGAGATCAAATGTCAGATCATAGCTAAAATTTTGTTGGTAAATTAAATACATCAAGGTTATGGAAGAATTTCGTTCAGGCAACATAGAACACAAGGTTGGGTTAGTGGAAAAGGAATGTATTATCTTAAGCAGGATTAATGAAAGAGTGCATGTACCAGCAAACAATTGTTTCTAAAAAAGTAAACAATAAACAAAAATCTAGTAACTAAAGTAAAAAAAAATATATCTCAGAACTTCAGAAGACGGTTGCCCATCCATCTCATAGAAAAAGAAGACATTTGACGTATGGATGCACTCCGAATAGATTGATTTAAATAAATAAAATGTCAATTTTAATCAAACCATCGACTGTGGAAAAAGCAGGTATAACCATCATGGTTAGTTCTTTTCAGTCAATAGCAATAAGCAACGTTAGCCTCCATTGGACATTGATAGACGACACAACAACAGGATGAATATTCCGTGGACTTACAATTCAATGATGATCCCGCAAGACAAGTCAGCCTTGCTTTTGTGTTAGCCTCTGCTAATGGAGTAGTCTTCTCTTTTGCAATCATCCGAGCATCCCAGATCCTTATTATACCATCTGATGAGGCCGAAGCAATTAGGTTGCACAGTTCAGATCCATCGTTCTTGTCGTCGAAGACAACAATCCCTTTCACACGAGTTGAATGAGCATCCTCAATGCGTGATGTAACCTTGCCACTGGAAAGATCCCAAGCAGTAATACCGCGTTCCTCTCCTCCAGTGTAAAGTATTCCCTTCTAACAAATTAAATCATAAACAAGTGAGCGGTATACAAAAGGCAACACCATATAGTCACTCAATGTTTCTATAATATCTATAGCATCCAAAGATTAACCTCAATCCTCATGCATAAAGCGAAATGATCAGCTCCAGATAGCTAAAAGAATAGCATGGACTGGAGCTCCAAATGATAGCTAATTCACCACAATATCGGTAACAATATAATCAATCAAAAGCCGACACATTGAACAATATGACAAATTTCATCAAATACTCAGCACCTACACTGTAAACTACTAGCATTTATGCCTAACCATTTAGCAACCACAACTCATAAGCAACTAGCCATCCTTACAACAATGAGTGTGTGGGAGAGATTATCTTGGTGGTGAATGGCAATACCTTTGCAGGCGCAAAGGCGAGCACCCTTTTGCCGCAGTCGATCTCATGGATGATCCTAGCATCCTCGGAGTCGTGCACGGTCACCTTCTCCTCGGCGGCCATCACGAAGCGGTCCCCACCGGCGCCATCCTCGGCGTAGGCGATCGCCGTGGCCGGGTGCTCGAGGCGGCAGGAGAAGCTGCGGCGGCCGCGGAGGAGGTTGAGCATGGCGAGGCCCCCCGAGCGGCCGACGGCGAGCGCGACACGCCCCGTGGGGTGCACGGCGAGGGCGTCGGCGGGCTCGCGGTGGCGCGGGAAGACGCGGAGCGAGGCGAGGAGCGGGAACCCCTCGCCGGCGTCGTAGAGGTGGAGGAGGCCGTCGTCGGAGGCGGCGAGGAGGTTGCGCGGGACGGGGCCGAGGGAGTGGATGGCGAGGGCGGAGACCGGCGCGGCGGGGTCGAGGAGCGGGCCGAGGTCGGCGGCGGCGGGGAGGTCGTAGAGGCGGACGGTGTCGTCGGAGCCGCCCGACGCCGCGAGCCCCGCGCGCGCCGCCGCGGCGGCGCAGCGGATGGGCCCCGCGTGGGCCGGGTAGGAGAAGAGCGGCGCGAGGGCTAGGGTTTCCGACGACGACGCGGAGGCGGAGGAGGAGGTTAGGGTTTTGAGGGAGAAGCCCCAGATGAAGCGCTCGTAGGAGCCGGCGATGAGAGCCATCCGGGAGAGCGCGCCGCCGCCGCCGGCGGTGAGAGGAGGAGGGTTTGGGAAGAGAGAGGAGAGAGGAGAGGAGACGAAGGGTTTGGGGGGTTTTGTTTGGTCAGGGACGCTGTCATGTGGGGCCAGGCTCAGGCTCGGTCTTTCAGTGCAGCACGAATCTTGACGATCATCAGATGGCTAGTAGTAGTACTAACATGGAAGCTGGTTTCCGAGACCGACATGTGGGCCCACTAGGGGCTGTGTTGCTTTCTTCACCTTCCCCGCTCTTTTCACGCACACATTTCTCAAACTGATGGATAGTTTACAAACGGTGTATTTAGTTCATGTCAAAATTTGAAGTTTGGTTGAAATTGGAACGATGTGACGGAAAAGTTGGAAATTTGTGTGTGTAGAAAAGTTTTGATGTGATGGAAAAGTTGGAAGTTTGAAGAAAAAGTTTGGAACTAAACTCGGCCAAAACTTTTCTATATAAAAATTGCTTAAAAATTTTCAGGCTAGTATTTTAAGCAACTCCATTTTACGTGTGGAAGAGAGAAGTTGCAAACCTCAGGGAACAAACACAGTGCAAACATGCAATCTGTCTTTCTTTATAAAACAAAAAATAATTAAGAATTCAACCTCTACGTCAATAAGGATGTGCAACGTCTTAATCTGCATCGATGAAATACGATTTGGGATAATTGATTTGCTTGGCATGGGCCTCATCGCAGAAGGTTAGAGGCAACATATGTTAGTTGTGCACAATGAACTTGTAAGCAAAACAACTCTGAATTTGCAATGGAGGATTCATTTGTGTTGTCTAAATCTTTCTTGTTTGCTGTAGGAATTGGATTGCTTCTAAGAAAATCTAGCAAAATAGAGGGCCTAAATCTTGTATACATCAATGAAGGACTCGTATAAACATCAAGATTTTATTTAGCTGGTGATAATCAAAATCAGGTGTAATACACAAACAAACCATTTGCACAATATATCTACCTAACAAAACTACAAAGACAAAAAAAAAGAGATCATCTTTGCTTCTTCCAGTATCTGTTTCAATCGACAACTAATGTTTTCATTTTATTTCTAACCCGAAAACCTCTTTTCCTTCAATATAGCTTTACATAAATTTTTCATCAGGGGCTCTCTTATACCAAAGAGCTACCAGCTATTATAAGTATAGAGTGTGGTGAGTTGATGTGCGATTATGAAAGAGATTTTAGGCTAAAGTTGAGTTCCAAATAAATTGTTGCAGTGATTATCTAATTAATTATAGTGATAATTTGCTCCATTTTGTTTAGAGAACAACTACTCACTCCAATTCATAATTTTTGATGTTTTGGACAAGATTGAGATCAAACTTTTATAGCTCTAATTATTAATGTCCAAAACGTCAAAAATTATGGAACTGGAGAGGATACTATGTCGTAAAATCAAGAATGATGGTTTCTTCGTGCAACCAAAAAAATAGATAATTGTTATCTGAAAATATCTAATTGTTCAAGGAAAAAATATGGTGCTAGTGAAAATAAGTAAGATAATGAAATATTTTTTATCACTAATTCATGGTTGTCAACGATCTTACTTACTGATAATTATTTTTGACGGTTAAAGTCAACAAACTAGCTTAACCAACAATCCGAACATGTGTTCTAACCAGAATACAAAGGGGAGGGGAACCATCGCCACAATCCAACCGTTGCTCCCCACATCAACGGCCGAGATGTAACCTTCCTGATCTCATCACCGACTTAACAGGAAATTTTTCTTATTTCCAAAAAAAAAAAAAAAAAATCTCTCCTCTCGTCGCACTCTTCCCCCCGAATCCAACACTAACCCTAAATCGCAGCGGCGGGCGGCGGCGGCGGCGGCGCGATGGAGGAGGACGCGGAGGGGATGGACCGGTTCGACATGGACGGCGACTTCGAGGGCGGCCGGTTCGGCAGGGACGGCGAGTTCTACTACGAGCGCCGCCGCGAGCGCGCGCCGCAGACGCGCGACGACGCGCTCTACGGCGTCTTCGCCGAGGGCGACTCCGACTACGACTCCGACGACGGCCGCCGCCGCAGCCGCCGCAAGCGCCGCAGGGACGAGGCCGAGCCCGACCTCTCGCGCCCCGTCCACTTCCAGTCCGCCGGCAAGTTCATGCCCAGCAAGGAGCCCGAGCCCGAGCTCGAGGAGAGGCCCGGCCTTGGCGCCGCTGCCTCCGCCTCCGCCTCCGCCTCCGCGGCGGGTGAGGATGATGCGGCGGAGGAGGAGGAGGATCTCGACCTGCCCACGGCGTTCGGGCAGCGGATCGCGGAGGGCGCGAGGGCGAGGCGGGAGGAGAGGGCGCGGGAGCGGGAGACGGCCGCGCGGCGCAGGCAGGCGTCGGGGGTGGCCTCCGGGAAGCCGGCGCCGGCTCTGGGGAGCCTGGGGTCCAACACGAAGGTGGCCAAGATGATGGCCATGATGGGGTACAAGGATGGGATGGGGCTCGGCAAGAACGAGCAAGGTATAGTCGCGCCGGTGGAGACCACTCTGCGCCCCAAGAACGCCGGTCTCGGAAGCGTCGAGGGGTTCAAGGAGCCCAAGCCATTCTTTACTAAGGAGAATTTGCCGCCTCCGCCTCCACCGGCGCCCGCCAAGAAGGAGCAGCAGAGGTGGTCGAAGAAGGCCGGTGCGAAGAAAGGCCCCGTGCTGACGAAGAACGAGTTGCTGGCGATGCGCAGCGAGCAGGAGCAGGACGAGCAGCCTACGGTTGTGCAGAAGGTGATCGACATGCGAGGGCCTCAGGCACGCGTGCTAACGGACTTGAAGGGGCTCAACGTGGAGCAGGAGATGGAGGCGAACGATGTGCCGATGCCAGAGTTGCAATACAATGTGAGGCTGCTTGTCGATGAGGCCAAGGCTGATATTGTGAGGCTGGATGGGCAGCTGCGACGGGAGCAGGAGAAGGTGGCAAGCTTAGTGCGGGAGAAGGAGAAAGTGGCAAAACAGGAGGCTTTGCAGAAACGCCAACTACAAGTTATGGAGAAGATTGCAGGAGTGCTGGAGCAGGTCCGAGTGGATGATACTGCAGGTATTCTCTCTCTGGAAGGGTTGCTTAAGACCTTTCAGGAATTGAAGGCATGCTACGTGGAGGAATTCAAGATGTGCAGTGTTGCATGGATTGCCTGCCGGTTTGCTCATCCGCTACTAATCCGAGTCTTCCAGGGGTGGCAACCACTGCAAAATCCGTTGTTTGGCTTGGAGATCATGTCATCATGGAAAGATTTGCTGCAGGGGGATCAAGCATATGACTTCTCAGGTGATGTTGAATCGATGGCTCCATATGCACAATTGGTTTGCGAGGTCATCCTACCCGCTGTGAGGATATCAGGAACCAATTCATGGGAGGCTAGGGATCCAGAACCAATGCTTCGGTTTCTTGAATCATGGGAACGGTTGCTGCCCCCTATCGTGCTCCAGTCAATATTGGAGCATGTCATAATGCCAAAGCTTTCAGCTGCAGTAGATTCTTGGGACCCACGCAGGGAGAAGGTACCAATCCATGTATGGGTGCATCCATGGTTGCCAATGCTAGGACAGAGGATAGATACCTTGTGCCATTCTATTCGATACAAACTGAGTAGTGTTCTCCATGTTTGGCAAGCTCACGATGCATCAGCCTATGCTGTGTTGTCTCCATGGAAGGATGTATTTGATGCCGCAAGCTGGGAAGACTTGATTGTGCGTTATATCGTACCAAAATTGAAAATGGCACTTCAAGAATTTCAGATCAACCCTGCAAACCAGAAACTCGACCAGTTCAACTGGGTAATGATTTGGGCTTCTGCAATTCCAGTACACCATATGGTCCATATGTTGGAAGTAGATTTCTTCAGCAAGTGGCAGCAGGTCCTGTACCATTGGCTGTGTTCACCAAATCCTGATTTCAATGAAATCATGAACTGGTACAAGGGCTGGAAGGGCCTTTTCCCACCAGAATTGCTTGCCAATGAGCGCATACGGATGCTTTTAACGGCTGGCCTTGACATGATGAACCGAGCTGCTGAAGGCCTTGAGGTGGTGCAACCTGGCGCTAGGGAAAATGTGGGCTACTTGAGAGCAACAGAGAAGAGGCAATTTGATGCAGCACAGCAAGCATCACAATACATGACTCACCATGCGGTGCCAGGAGCAGCCATGGCGGATATGAGCTTTAAGGAGTCTATCCAGGCATATGCAATGGACCAAGGCTTATTGTTTATGCCCAGAGTTGGTAAATTCTACAATGGTATGCCAGTGTATGAGTTTGGCACCGTAAGTATTTGCATCGACTCTGTGAAGCGCCTACTCTACGCACAACTTCAAGAAGGAATTGAGAGATGGAGTGCTGTCTCTCTTACACAATTGATAGAAATGAACCGGAAGGCGAGGCAACGCTAGTTGATCATCCTATTGTGTACTATTACTAAAAGGTGTCAGTTTTGATCATCATTGTAGAATATTTCTAAAGAGCAGATGGTTTAATGATGTATCTGAACAGGTTGTTGTTTGGCCTAGTAACTTTGTAGTATTTATATTCATGCTTTAATATGCACCGTGGTGCCTTTTTCTTGCCATAGAATGAACAAATGATTTATTAACTATTAGTTATCACCATGACAATTCTATTTGGTTGTGTCATCAATATTTTTATTTCTTGGATGCTTCTCTTGGGCTGTACAATTTGTTGATATGTGCTTGCTTTGAATCATTCAGTTAGATTTGAAAAATTAGAAAATGAGGTTGGGCTCTGGGTGGCTAGTTGAATTGTATCTTCTTTATTTGCATAAAGCTCAGGACAATACTGTAAAGAGTTATACTATGCTCCGCAATTCAGATGAATTAGCCGTGGCAGATTTAGTGAGCATTGCACTCAGTTCTTCCTTGTTCTTCAGGACATTTCAGCATTCTTGCCTAGTGTTGCTATAAAGAAATGCTTGGTCAAGCAAGAACGGTAATATAGAAAAGGTGTGATATTTGGTATCCTTACCTACTATACCAAGATACTCACATAGTATGTATATCTTGAGATATATCATTCTTTTTGCTTACCTTCGATATGCAGGTAAAATCATTTGATGGACATGGGATTCTTTATTTTCTCTAAGAAGATAGCTGCTGCCATTGTTCATTGTCAAGGAAACTCAAAAGCTTGATGAATATTGCTTCTTTATTAGATCATACTTAGATAACCTGTATGACTGCTATAGGAATGAGTGAAAATGTATGTCAATTTGTTGTGGATGTGGGAGGTGTGATCTCATTTCATGTTATGACATTATACATGTAAATGTAACTGAGGTTATGGTGGTTTTATAAATTGTTCATTCTGTGAATTTATGGAATCTTCTCAGTTCCCATGATTTTTGGGGCGGTTTTTGTTTTTCAGGCATTAGAGGCTTGTCCTGGTGTAATTTGTCAACACCAGTTGCCATTGTTGGGTGAGTTTGGGTTGTGGTCGAATTCTATTTGTTTTGTTGGCCTGATGGGTGTGTGGGCTTATTTATTGCTAAAGAGCTGCAGCTTTTTGTAATCTTTCGGACCAAATTCTGTTATTATCAGAAAAAGGTGTCAAGTAAAGTTTTTTTCCTTTCATATTTTGTAAAATATGAATAACTTTGCAATAGGTACTGAATTAAACTGAAAAATCTCGAGATGTGGCTGAGCAGTGTGTTACTGACTACTGATTGCTGGAATTTTGCTATCTTGCTTCTTCACTAATATATGTGGAATTTGATTTGCTTTCAGGAATAGGAAAATATTCATGAATACCAATTCGGAGCAAGAACACACTACAAAAGCATCTTAGTTGTACGAAACTAAACCAAATTTTCTCGTCCACTAATCAAATTGGAACTGAGTTACTGAGATGCTACATAAACTGAAGCCGAAAGGGTAAACAACCCAAGAAAATCTTTGCCATGTCCAACTTGGAGCTTCTAGGATGGCCAAGCTGAGCTCTAGATCAGTCCTGTAATCCTGTTCAGTTCCATTCAGGCAGATCACTCGATGTCGTCGACGATGGGAACCGTGCCATCATCCACGGCGGTTTGCCGCAGTCGCTGAATCGCCTTCATCACCTGTCAAAGAAGCATCACCATGAGCACCACCACCGTTGATCAAAGCTTCCATGGAGAGATCACAAGGATGAACTAAAGAGCACACCTCATTGTCCCAGTTGGTCCTGGCAGTGATGATGATCAGAGCTACCGTTTGCACAGATACTCCTATGATCAAGCCCCACCAGATCCCCTGATTAACATAAACAAGATGTTATGAGTTGCAACTGATGAAATCTGTGTGAAAAACTGTAACATAGAAAAGTAAACTGGAAAGAAATTAGGAGAGAGCAGTAGTATTTACAGCTGCCCCCAGGCTTGTTTTGTATCCAAGGACGCATCCAATTGGCAGCCCAATCAGGTAGTAGGCACCAACATTGACATAGGCAACCACCACCTGCCATCCACTACCAACGGCCACTCCTGCAGATTTCTCAAAGGTAACCAAGCAATTCTTCAGTTACAATCATGCTACTACTTGGCAGCCGAGAAATGCGAAATGCGAAGCGTTTGTGCTATGTGAAATGCACCTGAGAGGATTGGCTGAATTCCATTCAAGAAGATGCTGATGGACAGCAACGGTGTCAGTTTGATGACAGCCTCGATCACGGTGGTGCTGCTTGTGTAGAGCGTGCTCAGGGGATACCTGAGAACTAGGACTAGAATTGTAGCCAGGATGCTGAAGGCAACGCTTGCTGTGATAACCACGAAGACCGAGAACCTTGCCACATTTGGATGGCCAGCTCCAAGCTCATTACCGACACGAATACTGCATAATAAGTTCATGCAAAAGTTTGAATAATGAAGTGGGATTGAGAAGTGTGTATCTTTCATTTGCACTCACCTGGCCGCATAGCTTAAACCAAGCATGATCTGGAAGTCCCAATTCCAGTAATTGATGCTGACATGCGTAAAATACATAGCGATGTGAGTTACATATATATGAATACTGCAGTAGTGTATAAGCAGACATTTGAAACTGCAAGACCAATGAGTATCATGAGGTAAACAGGGTGTGGGCGGCATACCAGATAGAGAGCGAATCAAGTGCAATCTCTGGGTCGGGGAGGAAGCCAGTAAGAAGCACAAATCCTTGCACATACCAAATCTCCAACCTGACCAAGAACACATGAAAACAAGACATAAACACGCAAGAACTATGGCTCATAGCTCAAGATAAGTAGATCACTCACGCTAGCATGACGGCTGACGCGAAGGCAAGCTTGGCATATCCCCAGAGGCCTCTGAACGCGAGCACGGACAATCCAGTCCACGTCTCCTTACAAGCCGGAGTCCAGACCATGAGCCCCCATGTCAATGCCACGAGCACCCACCAAGAGAAGCTCAGCGTCAGTGCCGCGCCGAGGAGGCCAAAGCCGAGCACGAACACGGTCAGCCACGATATGAGGATGTGGAAGATCAGCACGGCCATGGTGATGTAGGCAACGGGGTTGACGATGTTCTGGGCCTGCAGGAACCTCTGCATCGGGCAGAAGAGCGCGAACGCGAGCAGCTGAGGCACCAGGCCGCGCGCGTACAGCTGCCCCGCTGCCGCCACATCCGCGGCCTGCCCAATGAGCCGCAGGAACGGGCCGGCGTACCAGTAAAGGAATGCGATGACGATGGCTGTCGCGAACTGGAGCACCAGCGCCCTCTGGCACACAATGCCCATGGCCCTGAACTTCCTGGCGCCGTACGCCTGGCCGCACACCGTCTGCACCGCGCTCGCCATGCCAATCTGCAGCATTGCATGCAAGCAACACACACATCATAATGCTTTACATTCCCAAACAACCAGAGTGCATGCAAGAAATCAAAGTTACCATGATGCCATAGGCTAGGCCCTGAATGCCAATGTTGGTGATGGAGGCGCCGGCGAGCTCGAGCTCACCGAGGTGGCCGACGAACATCTGGGTGACGAGGCTGAGAGTGAAGCTGAGGAGCGTGATGAGGATGGACGCCCACGAGATGCGCCACAGGTTGCCGGCCTCCCATGCCGCCAGCCGCGACAGAACGCTCCGCGGCACGGGCTCCCGGCGCAGCAGCTCCTCCGACGCACCCGAAGACTCATCGACGTCCAGCAATGGCGACCGTGCACTGCTTGTTTCCGCCATTGTCTCCTCCCCTTAAGTGCTTTGCTCAACATAATTCATAATGGACCAAGGCATTTATAGACCTGCCAAAGATTCATAGCTCTTTTGAATTTTCAGTAGCAGCTAACTAACCTTCAAGTGCCAGACCTACCAGTCCGTTTGCTGCTGTGAATAAGTTGGTTGCTGTGAAGAAGTAGGTGCAGTAGTAAGGCATGACCAATTAACCATGGAGTTTGCAATCCAGCTGAACATAGACAACTAGGAAGCTGCCAGTTTAGGAATTAGGATAGATGAATTGCAGATTGCATTGCATCCAGAAAGCAAAAGAACAAGCTTTACAGCATGTAGTATCGTATTGCCTCTGACTCTAACCATCACAATTGCTTGTTTTTCGAATCTTAAATATTGGATGAATAAATACAAATAGATCGATACGCTGTAAATCAATTGCTATCTTGTTTTACTTGTTTCAGAAGACCTCTTTCAGCAAACTTAACCATGAGTTTTCCAGGAACTGGTTTGTTTTTCTCTGAGGCCAGTTGATTATCAACTTTTTGGCATAATTTAACATCAGGAATTAAATTTCTCCGGAACATACGACAGGCCACGTTGTAGGCCTGAAGTCCGAGGCCTCTATTCAGAAAACTCTCCATCAGAATGTGGCATGTTTGAGCATCTCTCACTGAAGCAGTTCTCAGTATCTTGTAGAGGAGACTGTAAGCCTCATTAAGTTTACCGAAAGCACATAGCTTCTCAACGACCTGATTGTATGCGCTCTTCATCTCTTGTCTTGCTAGCATTTTTTCCAGTAGATTGAGCAAGTCTTCCAAATTGCCCTTCTCACAGTATCTATGTATCACTGTCCTGTATGTAACAGGTGTAGGGAGCACGCCTCTGTTGAGCATTTTCTCCACAAGCCCTGTCGCTTCTTTTAATCTACCTTTCTTTCCCAAAGCATCAACAACAACAGTATAAGTTACAACATCAGGATGCCTGTTGCTCAGATACATGTCGTCCATCAAAGAGAGTGCTGATTCCAAATCACCCTGCCGAGAAAATCCATGAATCACAGTAGTGAAATTAACAACATTAATTGTACAGCCTTTGCTCTGGCACTGTTCCATGAAGTCTTTGGCCTCTGCTGGTTTTCTGTCCTTACATAGAGCATGGATCAGTAAGTTAATCTCCACAGTTGTGGGGAAGAAACCCTTCTGCAACATCTGCACTACCACATCACATGATTCTTTTAGTTTCCCTTCTCTTCTAAATCCATGCATTACAACGCTGTAAGTGATATCACTTGGAGTCCACCACTCCTCTTCGCTCTTGTTTAGCAATTCCCAGGCCTCCGACGTTTTCCCAACTTTGCAGAGCCCATTTAACAGAGCAGTATGTGTGACTGTATTTGGCTTGCAATCATTCTTATACATATGCTTCATCATCTTTCTTGCTTGATCAAGTTCCCCAATGCGGCAAAACCCATCAACTACTGTGCTATATGTCACAACATCAGGTTGACACCCCTTTGAGATCATCTCACCTACAATCTCTTTTGCCTCCGCCATCCTCCCATTCAAACAAAATGAGTGCACAATTGCACTATATCCAACCTCATCCACTCTAAATCTTTTCCCCTCCGATTCCCTCAAGAACTCCAATGCCTCATCTGCATGGCCATGCTTTGCAAGCCCATGGATGAGCACATTATAAGTGACCTGATCTGGAAATAGACCTGCATCATTCCTCATCCTTTGAAGCAAACCTCGGACCTCTTCCACCCTCTTCTCCTTACACAAGAAGCTCATCACTGTATAGTAGCTAATCTTATCAGGAGGGCACCCATTTTGCAGCATTACACCAATCATCTCCATGGCATCAACAACCCGCCGAGCCCCGCACAACCCCTTGATAAGGCAATTGTATGTGTACACATCTGGCTCAACCCCAACGCGGCGCATCCGTTCGGCGAACTCAAGCGCCTTGTCGACACGCCCGGCCACCACGAGGACATTCACCGCCATGTTGCAAATCGATATGTCAGGCGCGCACCCGTCCTTCTGCATGAGGTGGAGCACGCGCATGGCGGAGCGGAGCTTCCCCGCACGGCTGTACGAGAGCATGAGCTGCGCGAACTGCTCGGTCCCACGCCGCACGCCACGGCGGATCATGAGACGCACGACGCGGCGGGCGGGGTCGTGGAGCCTGGTGTTGCTGAGGAGGCTCAGCATTTCGTCGAACACCTCCGGGGCGTGGCGGTACCGCCACTGGCGGTCGGCCCACCGGAAGAACTCGAACGCGCGGCGGACGTCCCCCCGCGCCTGCGCGCGCAGCACGGCGCGGACCTGCGGCGGCGAGAGCACGCGGAGGAGGTGGCGGAGCTGGGCCTCCAGCTTCGGGCTCCACGACTCCCGGAGCTCGAGCAGCCTGCAGGTGTCGCGCACGAGCCTGCTCCTCGACTCCTCCGCGAGGTCGTCGTCCACCCGGTAAACCGCCCGTCCGACGGATGCGGATTCCGAGGCGAGTTCGCCGGCGGTGGCGCTGCTGCAGAGGCGGCGGGGCTGCAGGAGGAGATGGAGATGGCGATGCAACAGGGGCGATGGGTTCTTGGTAAGATGCGTAGACATCGCGCCGCGAGAGACACGCTTCCGGCGGCGGTGAGTTTCACCGGAAATGGCCGGAGGATGCCGGAGAATGTGCCGGCGGCGGCGGCGGTGGCGGTGGCGGTGGCGGCGGGTTTTTGATGAAAGCCGTGGTGGGGTCAGGACATCGGGAAATTTAACTATTTGCCACTCCTGTGACATGGCAATTAACGATTTGCCACACCCTGTAAATGACATGTGGGCCCTCATGTGTCTATCACATATGGGTCTAGTGGCAAATCGTTAAGCAATATACGTAAGAATGGCAAATAGTTAAAAGCCCCCAGGACGTCAGGTCAGGGGTGTACAGTGTATTCTCATCCTCATGGGCTAATACTTCATCCGTTTTGTATTACAAGACTTCATTGTCCATATTTATATGTATGTTAATAAATCTAGACATATATGTGTGCCTAGATTCATTAACATCTATATAAATATATGCAATGCTAGAAAGTCTTATAACATAAAATGAAAATGAAAGTAGTACAAATTTATGAAAAAGGATCGTGCAAATGTAGAAGTATTTTTTTGGATAGAAGAAATTCTTAGACCCATTTGATTCAAAGGAAATTCACGTGAATTTTAGAGGATTTCACTCCTATTGGAAATTTTCCTATATAGCCCCTCGAATTAAAGGAATGAATCCTATAAAATTCCTGTGGAATGCCTCTTCCCATATAAGTTTTGGAGAAAATTTAACATGAGGTAGAATCTCATGGAAATAATCCTTTGAGTCTTTATTCTCCACAAATTCATGTGTTTTTCCTGCGGCTCAATCAAACGATCATTCCTATGTTTTTTATGTGTTTTGTAATTCTTCATTTTACAATTGTATTCGTGTCAAAATCCTATATTTTTCATATTCCTCTGTTTTTTTATTCATGTGATTCAAAGGAGCCCATACAATTATTTTTAAGTATTGGAATCCTTGGTGAAAAAATTACCATGACACCCTTTGTACCAGAGTAATAGTATTGCAAGGTTACTATGAGTTGCTTCCCTATACACTTCATTTCATAAGAAATTTAACATGAGCTCATATCTCTTGTTTTATTTTTTTAAATTTTTTCCTCAATCTCTACTCTCTTTCCGCATAGGATTTCCTCTAAAATTTATGTATTTGAATTTTTGTGAACCATCCAAATATATTACATCTATTGTTCCTATCTATTCCTACGTTGTTAGCTTCCCATACTCCCACATTGTTCAAAGGTGGCAAGAGTACGTACAACATTGTGTATCTGTTTTGTAAGTTATTAACTAAATTGATATGAGTTATTAAGTAAGACATTGTAAAATGCCATGTTCATGCATAGCCTGATAAGAACAGTTTACAAATGACATAATTTCGTAAGTGAATTTGCTTCAGTTATATAAATGCTCATGTCATAGCAAACGCTTTCCTTATAAAATACACAAACATAAAGATATTAGTTCACACCATGGTAATCTAAAGTATAAACCACGCTAAAAAAGGACTTCAATGAAAAAAACAAGCAAGGCATATGCCATTGAAAGCGAATATTCATGTGCATTACCACACCATGCCTTTCTTAACACCTAACCTTGCTTTTGGAAGAGCAAGACACCGTCAAATTTGATTCATGAAAACGCACACAAGAAAGGTAAAGGAAGTATCAAGTTGCAATTAGTTACTATTAGCACATGGAGTCTGTACTATAAAATCAATAGACCGGAACAAACATCAAAGAAACCAATCAAAGATAACTTTAATAAAAAACCATTGATTTTAGATGCAACTAATCAAACACTTATCCATGTGGCAAATCTATGGGCCTCCCTTTTTCTTATAGTCTTCTGGGTCTCCATTTTTAAGTCTTTTGGGTCAAATTCTTTTAGGAAGAAGTCGTTTGGGTTAATTTTTCTGATATAGGTCATTTGGGTCAATTTTTTTTAAATTCTTTTGGGTCTTTTTGAATGAACAAAAACCACCCAGCCAGAAATAACCTCCACCTCCAGGTACCTATCTGCAAAACGACCTCCCAAAACCATTTCCGCATCTTCTCTTCTCCCCCTGATTCCGTTCCGTTTCTCTTTCCTCCCCCTCACCGACTCGCCGTCGCCGTTCGTCGTCGTCGCCACGGTCGCCGGCGGAGAGAGGCCTCGTCTCGCCGCCAATGGCCTCCTCCGTCCCCAACGGACACGGCGCCGCCACCGCCACCGGCGAAGGAGGGACGCCACCGCCGCCGCCGCCGTCCTCCTCATCCTCGCTGGTGTTCCTCGGGACGGGCTGCTCCAGCGCCGTGCCCAACGCGCGGTGCCTGATCCAGCCCCCCGACCCGCCCTGCGCCGTCTGCTCCCAGTCCCTCTCCGTGGCCCCCGAGCTAAACCCTAACTACAGGTATATATACATCATGAGTAAATTCTTCCTCTAGGGAATCGGGCGGTGTCGGTCACGTTTGCTGCTGCTGCTGATGCGTTGCGGCTTGGGGTTTGTTTGAGAGATTTGACGGGGTCGGTGTGGATCAGAGATCATCGTGGGGATGGATTGGGAGTTCTGGTTCCGTACATTTGTGTAGATTTCGCGGGTGTCACGCTTTTTGATCTGGAACGAGTGCCTCCGCTTCTGTTTTGGGCGCGGTGGATGGGTTTTGGAATGGGATTTTGTGCGTTGTATGATTGGTACGCTCGAGAGCTGAGAAATGTTGATGAGAGAGGTGCCTGTGTTGTTGTAGAATGTAGATTCACACGCACTGATTCTGTGCAGAATATGGGCGCTGGTTTCTACTTGGCTGCTTGCTGCAACTGTGCAGCAGATGGTAGCAGTAGTATGCAAAGTGAATTCTGAGTGATTGTTTAAGTTATTGATGCTTCGAGAATTAGGAGAACCTGCAGTATGTGTTATGGCGCGCTCAAGATATTGATCGGAAATTTTGGACTCAGACAATCAATCAGTACTCTTAGTGGGTAGTCATGCTCAACCTCTGTAAGAGTAAACAATATGTTGGAATTTTAATAAGATGGACTCATAGTGGTGAGATATCCATATTTCAGTATGCAGAAACTGAGAAACAAGGGGCACAATTTCAAGATGCTACTGTGCAATGTCATGGAAGCAAAGCAAGTGACTTATTTTTCTTGTCTTGTGTTTATGTTAACAAAAATTCGAGGATTTTTTTTACTGAATATTGGGTGATGTTACTTGCACCAACCAATCAGTCTTAGAGTCAAATATGAAATATATACATACTTATCTTTAAATGTAAAAGGCACTTCATCTGTGCTCATATATGCATTTAATACTCTTGGTCAATGCCTTCTATATGCCTAGATTTATTTCTCAGTTGGCTTAGGCCCTGTTTAGATCCCACCCCAAAACTTTTCACCCTGTCACATTGAACATTTGGACACCTGCATGAAGTATTAAATATAGGCTAAAAAATAATTAATTGCACAGATTGTACCTGCATGAAGTATTAAATATAGGCTAAAAAAATAATTAATTGCACAGATTGTGACTAATTTGCGAGACGAATCTTTTAAGCCTAATTGCTCCATGATTTGACAATGAGGTGCTACAGTAAACATTTGCTAATGACGGATTAATTAGACTTAATAAATTCATCTCGCGGTTTACTGACGGATTATGTAATTAGTTTTTTTATTAGTGCCCGAACACCCCATGCGACACCCTATATAATACCCGATATGACACGCCAAAACTTTACACCCCTGGATCTAAACTCCCCCTTAGTTTGTATCATGCATATTATGTTCATTTGGAGCCAACTAGCCAACCGATTCTTAGCTTCTTCCTTCCCCTTTTGGTAATTGTCAGCCTTAACAGTTAGTTGCTCACCATGCTTGTTTCTCAGATGTTTTGGAATATTATTGCACAAACAATGGTTGATGGCAACATTATGCTTATGTGTCATTTTTCTGGGACTATATTAATACTTTGGTTCGCACAGGTGCAATACTTCTCTTCTGATTGACTATTGCCAAGATGAAAATGCACACAAATATATTCTAATTGATGTTGGGAAGACATTCCGAGAACAAGTTCTACGGTGGTTTGTCCATCATAAAATCCCTTGTGTTGATTCTGTGAGTTCCTTTTCTTTTCTTTTGTTTTTTTTGCTTCAACTTCTCACTTCTATGAATAAGAGCTGCTTCGGTGGATGAATCTACCGTAAAATAATAAAAAAAATGCTCAATGTTTATGCCTATACTAACACATTTTAATTATTCATTACAGATTATTCTGACTCATGAGCATGCTGATGCAATCTTGGGTCTTGATGATGTTCGGATTGTACAGTCATTTAGTCCTACGAATGATATTGAACCAACTCCAATTTATCTATCCCAATTTGCTATGGACAGGTAATGAATTATAATTGAGCTTTGCCAAGTGTACATGCCGTGCACTTTTTGAGTCTTGCAGCTCTTGCTGTGCTAAAGTTTAATTACTTTTGGATTTGTGCCACATTAACTATTTTAGCATTGTTTACTCTTTGTTTTGTTTTATTCTTTCAACTAAAGTATTACACTGTAATTGCCAACCTACAGTAATCTTTTTTCTCGTGTTGTGTGCAGTGCAGACCTGCTTGTGTACCAGTCAGAAATATTAGATTAATTGGCAACTTAATAACCATAAAATTAGACAGTGAATATAAAACTTGTCAAGTTACAGCATTATGGAAATTCGGTCAACAAAGTAAAACATATTAAATACATCATGTTTAATATGTTATTGTTGATAGTTGATAAACTCCTTTTTGTGGTCATGTGGATTCTTGTCCTAGTTATTTAGGGACAGCAAACCCTTTCTAGGCTTGATAGAAGTATTGACTTGTTTGGTATGCTCCGAACATTTGGAAAGGAACTGGCCTACCTTGTCAGAGAAACTTTGATTAAAATGGTGTTCCAAAGATATATTGTTTTCTTTTGATTTTTTATTTCCAGAACTCTTCCCTACTGGAGGTATTCATGATGAATAATGTTTGAATTGCCTCGCTCTTCTCGTGTTTCATCATTGTTTCGCACCTGCCAACTGTCATTAAGTGGGAATGTAAGTGATGATTTGTACTAACTTACATGTTTAATTTGGAACAGCATTGCCCAAAAGTTTCCTTACTTGGTCAGAAAGAAACTAAAGGAAGGGGAGGAGGTTCGGCGAGTTGCTCAGCTTGACTGGAGAGTAATCGAGAGTGATCTTCAGATACCATTTGTGACCTCAGGGCTAGAGTTTGTTCCCCTTCCAGTAATGTTTGCATTTTTCTATCACCCTCTGTTATTTTGCTCCTTCCATTTTCCTTACTTTTGTATATCTCTTAGGTGATCCATGGCGAGGACTACATTTGTCTGGGTTTCCTTTTTGGAAGAAAATCAAAAGTTGCTTATATATCAGACGTTTCATGGTTTCCTCCAAGCACAGAACATGGTATACCTTCGCCTCCTAATGCTGAATAGTTACCGTGCCTGTGATTACCTTCTGGGAATAAATATCCTGACATGAGACCATAGGGCAATAATCACCTGTTCTATATTTTTGTCATAAATTCAACTAGTACCAGCCTGGTTTATTTCTTTATCTTTCTTGTTAAATTTAGGAGTTAGGGGTGATGGTGTGTTCTACACCCATTGCCTCATCATGATCTATTATTATTAGATATATGCAGACTTGAGTCAGTTGTATCTAATATTGTAATATGATATATTTAGTAAAGAAGTGCTTGATCTCATCTAGTCATATAGTTGTTTGAATGGACTATTGAGGACAATCATTTTATACATTTTTAGTTCTAGGTCATATACTATATTCGTTTTGCATTGGCTGCAATGCACGCATGCTGGTACTGATTGGTAATTCTCCGCTTGATGGCTTGGTGCTCACCACAATGCATCGGTGCCCCCTCTAGCATATACTATAATGCAATTTTGGTCTATGGACATGTGTACTTAACCATGGAGATTGGTAAGGAAATATTTATCCATAAACCCTTCTCTCTTGGAGATGCATGCAAGCATACTTGTTCATCGTTTGCATTGGAAATAGCTAGGAATCTGGTCAGTTTATTTCCTTTCTATCTTGTTTTCATTACCCAGGACCTCATCATTGTGTACATATGCCTACCTTTCAGCAATTTCAAAGTCTGGAGGGGGTCAGCTGGATTTGCTCATCTTGGATTGCCTTAGTAGGGTGAGTTTCTTCAATTCCTTAAGTTGTGAGTGATGGATGTTTTTCCTTTTAATTTCATGTTTCATACTTGTTTCTAGACAACCATTCTGTCAATTGCAATTCATCAAGAGCAGATCAGAGCTGGCATATGCCAAACATGAATACTGCTTTAATCTTGTTTCAACACATGTCATGCTTGTTGCATTTCACATGAACATCGTCACTGATTGCTTGAAATTTGCATTAGTTAGGCAAATTGCAAAATAGGTTGTATCATTGTTCGTACTGATCTGTTGTGGGCTGACGTTATCTCTCTATGTGAACAGACTGGTTCTCATAATGTCCATCTTTGTTGGGATCAGGTTGGATTTCTATTGAATGACCTGAGCAATTTGTTTTATTATCTCCTCAAAGCTAACTGGTTTCTCATGCTAAATTTTAATACTATGATGCCATGCAGACACTGGATGCTGTTAAGAGGATTTGCCCCAAAAGGGCATTGCTCATTGGGATGACTGATGAAATGGACCATCACAAGGACAATGAAACGTTGGAAGAGTGGTCCAGAAGGTAGGGTTTCCTGCAAGATGACTTAGATGATCGTACATACATGCTAGTGTCCCCAAATAATTTGGCACGAGCAGTACATATTTTGTCTGCATTACAAAATATGTACTACTCGACTACTGAAATAGAGTCTTATTTCTCTTTATTGTAAGTTCCTGAAAGATATGCATACTCATGCACTGTAATTATCTATTGAGTACAGGGAGGGGATAGATGTGCAGTTAGCCCGTGATGGATCGCGTGTCTACATTGATCTGTAAATTTGACAAAGGTACGGACCAATGCTTTTATTTGTTGTTTAGATGACTACAGCGCTATACAGATCAGGCATATTTCTTAGTTCGTATGATGGAATCTTGTTAGCTTCTACTCCCTCCGTAGTTATATTTGGAGGCTATGAGAGTGACCGGAAATGGCCGGAGGATGCCGGAGAATGTGCCGGCGGCGGCGCCGGCGGCGGGTTTTTGATGAAAGCCGTGGTGGGGTCAGGACGTCAGGGCAGGGGTGTACTCTCACGGTCTCACCCCTATGGACTTTTTTCCACTTAGGTCCAGTAGTTAATACAAATTTATGAAAAAGGATCGTGCAAATGTAGAAGTATTACAAGATCTTTTGGATAGAAGAAATTCTTAGCCCCTTTGATTGAAAGGAAATTCATATGAATTTTAAAGGATTTCATTCTTATAGGAACTTTTCGTATATAGCTTTTGAATCAAAGGAATAAATCCTATGAAATTCATATGGAATGCTTCTTCCCATAAATTTTTGAAGGAAATTTAACATAAGGTAGAACATCATGGAAAGAATCCTTTGACTCTTTATCTCTCCCAAAATTCATGTGTTTTTATTGCGGCCCAACCAAACGGTCATTCCTATATTTTTTTCATGTATTTTCCAATCCTCTATTTTATATTTATATTTATATCAGAATCCTATATTTTTCCTAATTCTCCATTTTTTTTTCAATCCTGTGATTCAAAGGAGCCCATATAATTACTTTTAAGTATTGGAATCCTTGGTGAAAAAAATTACTGTGACACCCTTTGTACCAAAGGAATAGTATTGCAAGGTTACTATGGATTGCTTCCCTATACACTTCATTCCATAAGAAGTATAACATGAGCTCATATCTCTTGTTTTATTTTTTTATTTTTCCTCTCTCTCTGCTTTCTTTTCTACATAGGATTTCTTCTAAAATTCATGTATTTGAATTCTTGTGAACCATCCAAATATATTACATCTATTGTTCTTATCTAATCCTATTTTGTTAGCTTCTCATGCTCCCACATTGTTCAAAGGTGGCAAGAGTACGTACAACATTTTATATGTTTAGTAAGTTAAGTTCACTAAATTGATGAGTTATTAAGTAGTACATGGTAAAATGCCATGTTCATGCATAGCCTGATAAGAACCGTTTACAAAAGGCAACCTCGTAGGTGAATTTGTTTCAGTTAGATAAATGCTCAGGTCGTAGCAAACGCTTTCCTCGTAAAATACACAAACACAAATATATTAGTTCACACCATGGTAATCTAAAGTACAAACCACGCTAAAAAAAAGGACTTCAATAAAAAAACAAGCGTGGCATATGCCATTGAAAGCGAATATTCATGTGCATTACCACACTATGCCTTTCTTAACACCTAACCTTGCTTTTGGAAGAGCAAGACGCCGTCAAATTTGATTCATGAAAACACACACAAGAAAGGTAAAGGAAGTATAAAGTTGCAATTGGTTACAATTAGCACATCGAGTATGTAATATAAAATCAATTGGCTGGCACAAACGTCAAAGAAGCCAATCAAAGATAATTTTCTAATCAAAGAACATTGCTTTTAGATGCAAACAATCAAATACTTATCCATGTGGCAAATCTTATGGGCTTCCTTTTTCTCATAGCAGATACAATAATAGACTATAAGTCTGCTATAAACACATATCGAGGAGATTAAAAAAGAGAGAGATAAGCAGCGGGCTACAGATTTGTAGCCAGCTATAGCACAGACTCCAAGATGCAATGTATGTATGACATGTTGAACTAATAGTGTAGTATATATTTATAGGTAACTATGGTAAGAATTGACGTTAAATTGATTATAGATGATTTGGAGCTAGTAGTCGGCTATACCATTAAACTTGCTTTTATAGTCTTATAGGTCTCCATTCTGAAGTCTTTTGGGTCAATTTTTTTTTTGAGAAGCCATTTGGGTCTTTTTGAATGAATAAAAACCACCCAGCCAGAAATAACATCCACCTCAGGTACCTATCTGCAAAACGACCTCCCAAACCATTTCCGCATCTTCTCTTCTCCCCCTGATTCCGTTTCCGTTTCTCCTCCCCTCACCGACTCGTCGTCGTCGTCGCCACGGTCGCCGGCGGAGAGGAGAGAGGCCTCGTCTTCGCCGCCAATGGCCGCCTCCGTCCCCAACGGCCACTCCGTCGCCGGCGAAGGAGGGACGCCCGCGCCGCCGCCGTCCTCCTCCTCGCTGGTGTTCCTCGGGACGGGCTGCTCCAGCGCCGTGCCCAACGCGCGGTGCCTGATCCAGCCCCCCGACCCGCCCTGCGCCGTCTGCTCCCAGTCCCTCTCCGTGCCCCCCGAGCTAAACCCTAACTACAGGTATACATCATTCTTCCTCCTCGTCCTCACCTCTATCCTCTAGGAATCGGGCGTGTCGGTTGCGCTTGTGTCTTCACGAGGTCGGTGTGGATGATCTGAGTTCAGCATGAGATGGATCGGGAGCTTCCAGTTCGGTGCATTTGTATAGATTGCACGGGCGTGGGCGCCATGCTTTTGTTCGGGTGATTATGAGTCGCCGAGATCTGAACGATTGCCTCTGCTGCTACTTTTGGGTGCGGTAGGCTGGTAGATGGGTTTTGGAATGGGATTGTACGATTTACAGTAGAGCTGAGAAATGTTGATGCGATAGGTATCTGGTGCTGTGCCTTTGTAGATTCAGTGATTCACACGCACTGATTCTGAGCAGAATATGGGCACTGGTTTCTGCTTGGCTGCTTGCAGCAGCAGATGGTAGCGATGTTCTGTATGCAGAGTGAATTCCGATAAATTGTTTAGAAGTTGAAAGTACTTCGAGGAATAGGAGAACCTGCAGTGCATGTTATGGCGTGCTCAAGAAATTGATCGAAAATTTTGGGCTCAGACAATCAATCAGTATGCTTAGTGGTTAGTCATGGTCGACCTCTGTAAGATTAAACAATATATTGGAACTTCAATAAGATGGACTCACAGTGGTGGTATATCTATATTTCAGTATGCGGAAACTGAGAAACAAGGGGCACAGTTTCAAGTTGCAGCTGTGCAATGTCATGGAAGCATAGCGAGTGACTTATTTTTCTGGTATTGTGTTTTTCTTAACATGAAATTCCAGGAATTTTGTACTGGATGTTGGGAGATGTTACTTGCACGGTTGCACCAACTAATCAGTCTTAAGAGTCATATATACATACTTATCACTGAAAGTAAAAGGCACTTCATCTGTGCTCATATCTGCATTTAATACTCTTAATCAATGCCTTCTATATAACTAGATTTATCTTCTTGGTTGGCTTAGATTATATCATGCATATTTATGTCCATTTGTAGCCAACTAGCCAACCGATTCTTAGCTTCTTCCTTCCCCTTTTGGTGATTGTCAGCCTTAACATTTAGTTGCTCACCATGCTTGTTTCCCAAATGTTTTGGAATATTATTGCACAAACAAGCTTGATGGCAACATTATGCTTGTGTGTCGTTTTTCTGGGACTAGATTAATACTTGGGGTTCCTACAGGTGCAATACTTCTCTTCTGATTGATTATTGCCAAGATGAAGTCACACACAAATATATTCTAATTGATGTTGGGAAGACATTCCGAGAACAAGTTCTACGGTGGTTTATCCATCATAAAATCCCTTGTGTTGATTCTGTGAGTTCTTATCCTTGTTTTTTTTTTCTTTTTCCTTCAGCTTCTCACTTCTGCGAACAAGAGCTGCTATGATAGATGAATCTACTGTAAAATAATAAAAAAAATGCTCAATGTTTATGCCTACACTAACACATTTTAGTTATTCATTACAGATTATTCTGACTCATGAGCATGCCGATGCAATCTTGGGTCTTGATGATGTTCGGATTGTACAGCCATTTAGTCCTACGAATGATATTGAGCCAACTCCAATTTATCTATCCCAATTTGCTATGAACAGGTATTTGAGTTTTAGCTTACCTTGGCTTTTAGGCTTTTATATTGTTCAGTTATAATTGAACTTTGTCAAGTGTACATGCCGTGCACTTTTTGGGTCTTGCTATGTTAAAATTTAATTACTTTGTGATTTGTGCCACGTTAACTATTAGCGTTGTTTGCTCTTTGTTTTGTTTTATTCTTTGAACTAAAGTATTACACTATAATTGCCACCCACAGTAATCCTTTTTCTTGTGTTGTGTGAAGTGCAGATCTGCTTGTGTACCAATCATAAATATTCGATTAATTGGCAACACGTATCTGTGATATGATAAGTAATGTTTGAAACTAATAACCATAAAATTAGAACAGCGAATATAAAACTTGTCAATTTATAATGTTATGGAAATTTGTTGACAATTTGCTCCTCATGTTTCATCATTGTTTTGCACCTGCGAACAGTCATTAATTGAGAATGTAAGTGATGATTTGTACTATACTTATGCGTTTATTTTGGAACAGCATTGCCCAAAAGTTTCCTTACTTGGTCAGAAAGAAACTAAAGGAAGGGGAAGAGGTTCGGCGAGTTGCTCAGCTTGATTGGAGAGTAATCGAGAGTGATCTTCAGAAACCATTTGTGACCTCAGGGCTAGAGTTTGTTCCCCTGCCGGTAAGAAATGGTTTGCATTTTTTGGTTATCTCTGTTTTATTTTGTTCCTTCCATTTGCCTTAGTATCGTATATCTCTTAGGTGATCCATGGCGAGGACTATGTTTGTCTGGGTTTCCTTTTTGGAAGAAAATCAAAAGTTGCTTATATATCAGACGTTTCACGGTTTCCTCCAAGCACAGAACACGGTATACCTTTGCTTCCTAATGCTGCTCTAATGGTTACTGTGCCTGTGGTTACCTTTTGGGAGTAAATATCCTGACATGTGACCATAGGACATTAATCACTTGTTCTATATTTTTGTCAGGATAAATTCCACTGGTATCAGCCTGTTTATTTCTTTATCTTTACTTGTTAAAGTTAGGAGTTAGGGGTGATGGTGTGTTCTATGCCATTGTCTCATCATGATCTATTATGACTAGACATATGCAGACATGCGTGAGCTGTATGTAATATGATCCATTTAGTAAAGAAGTGCTTGATCTCATCTAGTCATGAATATAGTTTTCTGAATTGACTATTGAGGACAATCATTTTATGCATTTTTAGTTCTAGGTCATATAGTATGTTTCATTTTGCATTGGCTGCAATGCACGCGTGCTGGTACTGATTAGTGGCTTGTTGCTCACCATAATACATCGTTGCCCCCTCTAGCATAGCTATAATGCAATATTAATCTATGGACTTGTGTACTTAGCCATGGAAATATTTAGTCTATTCAGGAGCTCATTACTGTGCACACATGCTTACCTTTCAGCAATTTCAAAGTCTGGAGAGGGTCAGCTGGATTTGCTCATCTTGGACTGCCTTTATAGGGTTAGTTTCCTCAGTTCCTTATTTGTCAGTGATGGATGTTTTTCCCTTTAGTTGCTTGTTTCAGTCAATTGCAAATTTCAATTCATCTAGAGAAGGTCAGAGCTGGCATATGCCAAGTTTTCAACATGTATAAAACTGACTTTTGTTGCAATTCATGGGAACATTATCACTGATTGCTTGAATTTCTCGTTATTTAGCCATAATAGGTTGTATCATTGTTCAGACTAACATGTTGTGTGCTGACATTCTCTCTCCATGTGAACAGACTGGTTCTCATAATGTCCATCTTTGTTGGGATCAGGTTGGTTTTCTATTGAATGACTTGAACAATTTGTTTTATTGTTTCCTCAAAGCTAACTAACTGGCTTCTCATGCTAAATATTAATACTATGATGCCATGCAGACACTGGATGCTGTTAAGAGGATTTGCCCCAAAAGGGCATTGCTCATTGGGATGACTCATGAGATGGACCATCACAAGGACAATGAAACGTTGGAAGAGTGGTCCAGAAGGTAGGGTTTCCTGCAAGATGACTTAGATGATCGTACATACATGCTAGTGTCTGCATTACAAAATATGTACTACTCGATTACTGAAGTAGAGTACTGATTTCTCTTTATTGTAAGTTCCTGAAAGATATGCATACTCATGCACTGTAATTATCTATGAGTACAGGGAGGGGATAGATGTGCAGTTAGCCCGTGATGGATTGCGCGTCTACATTGATCTGTAAATTTGACAAAGGTACGGGCCAATGCATTTATTTGATGTTTAGATGAATGCACTATACAGATCAAACATATTTCTTAGCTCGTATGATGGGATCTTGTTAGCTTCTACTTACCTCTGTCCCAAAATATAGCTGCCTTTATAGTTCAAGTTCAAGTCGGAGGGAGTAGTTCATCGGACTCGTTCCCTTGCTGCTTATTGTGCATGTGTTATTTCTATCGCTAAACTTTGTTCTCACACATTCTTACATTTTCTTATCTATGTACACCAGGGCATTTGCTTCTTCAGTAACCTGCATTAAGCTTCCAGTTGCCGTTACTATTCAGCTCCTCTTGATAAGAAACTGAAAGGAGAAACGGCAAATGCTGCTGCTTTGACAGCGTACTGGTCATAGTTCAAACTCACTAGGTACAGTAGAATAATTCATCAAACCTGGTTCCAAATATTAGTATTTAGTAGTAGTAATAAAAGGCAAAGCAGCTGCTTCATTGCAGCACCCCACAGAATCCCAGTTCCTGTATGTTTGTCTTGTGCAAACCACTTGAAGATTTCTTGTCAATGCCAGTGTCGTAGCCCTTGTCAATTGGAGAAAGCCTGATTCGAATGATAATGAACTCCAACAGAAGCTTTTTTGAAGTTTCATTTCGTACTACTCTCTCTATTTCGAAATGTTACTCTCTCTATTTCGAAATGTTTGACACCGTTGACTTTTTAGCACATGTTTGACTGTTCGTCTTATTTAAAAAATTTAAGTAATTATTAATTCTTTTCTCATTTGATTCATTGTTAAATATATTTCCATGTAGGCATATAATTTTACATATTTCACAAAAGTTTCTGAATAAGACGAACGGTCAAACATGTCCTAAAAAGTCAACGGTGTCAAACATTTCGAAACGGAGGTAGTAGTATTTTCCTGAAGTTAAGTATTCACACGTCGTCTCTTGGGTAGGGTAGCAACTTGAAAAAACACAAAAACCACAAAGCTTGAAGCCACAGAGGATCCACGTCCTCCACCTCCAACTCCAAGCCCCAACACAAAGGCAAAGGCCCAGTTACTGACCAGTGGGCCCCACTCGGTCAGGTCCCACGTGCACACTGGACGGGAGGGAGGGAGCCATGTGTCCGGAGGAAGACGACACGAGGCGAAGCCCATCCCACCACCCACCACTAATCCCCTCCTCCTCGTGACTCCCTCTCTCCTCGCCACTCTCCCCCCTCCCATCCTCTTCCACTCTCTCCTCTCCCCTTCGTGGCGGCGGCGGCGGCGGCGGCGGCGTGACGAGGAGGAGCAATGGCGATGGCCTCCTCCGCCTACGCCCCAGCGGGCGGCGTTGGCACCCACTCCGCGCCGGGCAGGATCAGGCCGCCGCGCGGCCTCGGCTTCTCCACCACCACCACCAAGTCGAGGCCCCTCGTGCTCACCAGGCGTGGGGGAGGCGGCGGCAACATCTCCGTGGCTCGGCTGAGGTGCGCGGCGTCGTCGTCGTCGGCGGCGGCGAGGCCGATGTCGCAGCCGCGGTTCATCCAGCACAAGAAGGAGGCGTTCTGGTTCTACCGCTTCCTCTCCATCGTCTACGACCACGTCATCAACCCGGGCCACTGGACGGAGGACATGCGGGACGACGCCCTCGAGCCCGCCGACCTCTACAGCCGCAAGCTCAGGGTCGTCGACGTCGGCGGCGGGACGGGGTTCACCACGCTCGGGATCGTCAAGCGCGTCGACCCGGAGAACGTCACGCTGCTCGACCAGTCCCCGCACCAGCTCGAGAAGGCCCGGGAGAAGGAGGCCCTCAAGGGCGTCACCATCATGGAGGGCGACGCCGAGGACCTCCCCTTCCCCACCGACACCTTCGACCGCTACGTCTCCGCCGGCAGGTTCACCCTCTCACTTTGCTCTCTTCACCTCCAAACCGTGTCGATATCGCACGCACATTGTGAATTTCAATTTCTACATGAACCATGAACAATGAACAATGAACAACTTGCTATGGTTATGCATTTCATTACTTCACTAGTGATTTTTAGTCAAGTCTTTGCGGGTTCCGGTGTTCCGGTTGTGATTGATGAGGGGGTGTGATTGTTGTACAGCATCGAGTATTGGCCCGATCCGCAGCGAGGAATCAAGGAAGCTTACAGGGTTTTGAGGCTTGGTGGAGTGGCTTGCATGATTGGCCCCGTGCACCCAACCTTCTGGCTGTCTCGCTTTTTCGCTGACATGTGGATGCTCTTCCCGAAGGAAGAGGAGTATATTGAGTGGTTCAAAAAGGCAGGGTTCAAGGATGTCAAGCTCAAAAGGATTGGACCAAAATGGTACCGTGGTGTCCGAAGGCATGGCCTGATTATGGGATGCTCTGTGACGGGCGTCAAAAGAGAACATGGAGACTCCCCTTTGCAGGTTTTTTTTTTTGCTAATTTGCCTTGCAAGTTGCAAATTCACATAAGCCTCCTTTGTTCGGATGACTCTTTTTGTCGTTACTTTTATTTCTTACTGATTTATATGTTGATTATTACTCATGGATTGGCAACGCAACACCTGGGTATGACGAATGTTGAAGAGTGAACATGTCAATATTTTTCTCACTTGCATGAGATTAATGAACATTGTAGGTATTCATTTTTCTCTCTTATTGATGGGATGAAGAGATAAGTGTCGACAATATGCCATTCTCAGCCGCCTAAATGTTCTCTCGACAAAACTTGTAGCCTAGCTAGCCTGTGCCATGTCTCAGTCTCAGCTCAAATGTAGTGCTATGTGAAGGATATAAGATGCTAATACATTTGTTTGGATCACTTTCTAACATACATAATTGCATATTATATAATGACTTGTATAATCTGAGTCAATTTAAATATTTTTGTTCATGTGAAAAGGCTGTTATAGGTTATAGCATCTTACCCATCATAGTGCTTGATGGCATGTAAGCACATGAAACTTTCCTGTGAAGAAACCAATCTTCCTGATTTCATGTTTTCTTCTCTTTATTTCCTTCTTTTTTTCTTGCTTCTCTTAACATTATTTCTCCTGGTTATTACAAATAAATGGGACAGCTCAAAAAACCATCTCCAGCTGAAATTAATTTTTAAATGTGAACACCTGACTTTGTTTAGCTTACGTTTGGAAATACATTATCATGTTGGTGTGTAGTGATTAGACTGAAGAGTTCAATTGTTCCCCTGCAGCTTGGTCCAAAGGTTGAGGATGTCAGCAAACCTGTGAATCCTATCACCTTCCTCTTCCGCTTCCTCATGGGAACAATATGTGCTGCATACTATGTTCTGGTGCCTATCTACATGTGGATAAAGGACCAGATTGTGCCCAAAGGCATGCCGATCTAAGGGAGATGAACTGAGCTGCAAGAGAGGATAGCCAATATCTGAATTAGGCTTCTCTATATTAGGCACTTTCTGTCAGTTCTGTATTTACTTCTGTTGTCCCTGTTGTTATGTACTTCTTTTACTGTGGTTCTTGTTTGTGGGGAAATAATATTATGAGACCTTGATTAAGCTCATCCGAACTCCTGAGCATGGAATGGATCGTGTGTAGCATAATTAGAATGGACATGTGACATTTCTGCATTCCAAGTATTCTGAATGGTAGACAAACAAATAATATCTGAATTCGATCCCCATTTATTGTTCTGCATCTATTTTATTTTCTATTGATGTTAACATGTGTACGTAAAGCTGATTTCTTCAGAAACTTAGGTGAAATTTGTTGGTAACTGTACAGTGTATAGGGACAATGGATTTGTTGACCATGTTTGCTTATATAATATTTTTTTCATCAATATATTGCGATCATCCTCTCAGCATGTGAACAGAAGGCTGCCATGGTGCAGTTCTTACTTTCTTCTTTTCTATTGGGTGTTGGGGGAGGACTGGCCTGTTCAGATTGGTTTGCTAGTGGACAATCAAATGATTGCGGTAACATTTGCACCGATGGCACTTCTGACGCTGATAATAAGATCTGCCACAGCCACAAAAAAGAGCATTCCTCACTGGAGCAGCATATGAGACGCCAAGATGGATCAGGGAGGGGCAGCTAAAATTCCTGGAACAGAAGGTAGGGCTTCCTGCAAAAACAAAATGTATGCTTTTAACAAGAACATATTTTTATGTGGAGTAATGCTCTTACCTATGCATAACTTGCTGCAGTCTTAGGATAACCGTATTTGGATGTACTAGGTCCTATTTGGCATTGAAGCCTTTTGATGATGTGCTTATCTACAGCAATAAGGTATGTAACTTGATATGTATGTACAGTAAAAGGTATGCGAGAATTTGCATTCCTTCATTTCTTGGAAGAGGTAGAAGGATCAACTATGCTTCTTGGTTCATTTAATTGGCCCTGATTACTACTAATGTCTTGGAAACAATAGCATACCAAATTCGAACATGACTTTAAATCATCTCCCATTATGCCTTTTCTTTTGTTTTGCATATGCCCCTTTTTTCTGCTGCTTAATTAGCTTTGTTCTGAAACTCTGTTTTAAATGAAACAGGACCTTGCAAACCTCTCTATGAGAAATATTAAAAGACGCATCCAACCCAATCTTGGTGGATAACTTTTGCATATGCCAATATCATTAATCAAACGGCTTACTTGAGAAGAATACTTTATATGAGTTCACCAATTTGTACAGATGGATTTGCATTGCCTGAAAACTACAATATTGTCATCTTATGAATTTACACATAATTATCTTAACAAACAGGCATTAAGTATTAGTTTTAGGGAGAAATCCTGCCCATGTTGATGTGTAAATGCTAAATAGAAGTTATAGCTCTTTATGTGGACAAGTAAATCCTGCATCAAAACAAATGTTTTATTTGAACAAGTGGGCAAAATCAGAGCTGATAGGAAGAAATTTATTCTAAGAACCCAACTGTCCACACATTCTCCACTTTGTGTAATACATAAGTCATGATCATTTTTATGCAATTGCTTCAACATAAAATAACATAGTTACATTGATGGCTTAGACATAACGAACCTGAAGAAATCAAATTGACCATGAAGGATGTGCTAGACTGCTAGTGCATCACAAATATTTGATACTACCCTCAAATACTACTAGTATGTGAAAATCGTCTTGCTATCTTGACATCTAAGATCAGTTTGGCCATGTCCTTGCTTTGGTAGTTCATCTCATTCGAGGGATATGCATTGATTACCCTCCACTATGGTAATGCATCATCATATGATCTGTTTTGTGACTAGTTGCATCTGGATTCTCTTTAACACTTGCAAGAGTTGCGCAACTTCATAATTGGCCCTCTTGTCTATTCTGGGTAAAATTCATTGTAGTAATACTCTACCTTGTCATCTTTTGGGAAGATAAGGATTGCCTTTATAACTGCACACCTCAACAGGCATCACGTAGTAGCACATGTTGTATTTCCATACAATGCTTCTTCCATGGCTGGGGACTTGGGAAGTTGGGAGTAATGGTGGTCACTTGCTACTCCATTCTTTCTATCTTAGCTAGCACTCTCATTTTTCGTTATTATCATGTGATGTCATTATGCCTTATGAACTGGGGTTATATCATGGGTTATAAGTAGGTGTATCTCAGACTTTCTTTTCAGATGATGATGGGTGCTGAACTGCTGATGATGCATCTGATATTGTTAAACTACAAAAGATTTTGGTGACTGTTGTTGATTATGAATGCAGGTGAGATCTCCCTTGAGACTTTTGAAAGGAATATTACCGCTGGACATGTTTGGGTTAAAGTAGTTTATCTGAATTGAAGAAGGGGCTGATTCCTTGTCACCATTATTTGCATTAAGTGAGAAATCTCACTGCCAAGCAGCGTAGCACACAGCTTGTTTCCTCCTTGGATCTGAAATGCTGTGAACACCTGGTTGGTTGGGTGTTTTTGCTTCTCTTGTAGTCTTTGTGTAGAAATCTCCTGTATTGGAATATCATGAACGCATGCTTGAGCGAATCTGGGCTTTGAGCAGACACACTAACGTGAAACTTAACTAGGCTAATATCCATATGTGTTGACTAAATTGTTCTTTGCTTTTGATTATTTGATCTTTGTTCTTCGTGCAGGTTTGAAAAGAATCATTGCATCAACTCTATTATACAGTAGATTATATTGTGGCAAGAAGAATGACCTCCACGTTTCGATACTAGTAAAAAGATGAGGAAAACTGGAAATGATAGTGAGAGAGTAGCAGTAAATTTGTTTCTGACGAAAAGAGACAGCTGCAAGAATTTTGCTTCTGACGAAACGAGACGCCGCGATGCATGGTTGGTGAGGGTGCGTCGATCAGTGGATTGGAGAGGAACAACACTCGAGAAAAACAAACGAGGGGGAGGCAAAAGATGGTAGCGAGTAGAGAGACCTACTAACCAAAAGAATTAGCTTGATTGACAGAAACAAATGGCTACAACTACAACACAGACTGAATGGCTGAAACTGAATGCTCTGAGCTGCTGCCACTTCAGTTTCAATAAAATGCAACTGGGGGGACGTGTCCAAAAAAAAAAAAGGTTTTTATATAACATATGTCCGACATATCAAGTGAAATGTCTCAAGAAAGAACTAGTACATCCTACTTAAGAGTGATGTTGCATCATGTAGCAAGACCTATTTTAAAGTAAAAATCGCTTCTCATCGGTTTACCAAAATCCGACTGAAAAAAATGTAAAAACTGTTGACTTTTAGTCAACGCCATACGAAAACAGGCTAATTCCTACCGGTTTTCATAATCCGAGACTTGGTGGTTTCACGAAAGCCGACCGGTTTTCGTGAAATTCCATCAGTTTTGTGAACTCTGTCTGTCACTCGCTCAGCACAAGTTTAGACATCTCAATGCTATCTGTCATCTCGTCCATTACGCTGCTAACTGTCATCTCGTCCAAATGGATGACCACCGATGGTGATCCTCCAAACTTGCCATGGATGTCGCGACTGGTGGCGGCGGTTAGCCGCAGCCTGGCGGCTTTGGATCGGCGGCGCAAGAAATCCCAGGTAATTTCGTTTCTGAAATCTGATCAATTGGACTCTGTACAACTGAATATTTATTCAGAATGGAAGCATTCATCATCAGTCATCACCACGGGGAACAAATTGCTAATTTTCTCATACAAGGGGATTACAGAAATTGGTTTATACCGTATTTACTATGATATCTACACAAGATATTAACACATTAAGTGCTGGCACAAGCATACCATCATCTCACAAGATCTTGTACCAATCTGGATGCCTCTATGCTCTTGTATATCGTTTCGTCGAAATGGGCAGACATTGATGGTGATGAAGATCCTTCATAGTTGTGATGCGCAGAGCTGTCTCCTTTGTGATCACTAGCTGCGTGCATTGGGTGTCTCCTTATCATCTGTAGGCACTCTGCAACTTCCTTCATCGTTGGCCGGTCATCTCCTCTTGGTCGCAGGCAGTTGGCGGCAAGAATGGAAAGTTTCTCAAGAACAACCATGGTTTCTTTATCCATAATTTCTCTGTCCAGCATATTCCGGTGAATGTTCTGATCAAACATCAGGAGAAAAGAATAGGACAATGATTCCTTTTCATTGATGCTATTGGCAAAGATTGCCCTCTTTCTTGTCATCAGCTCCAGCAGAACCACCCCAAAACTGTAGACATCACTCTTGTCGGTAAGACAATGGCTAATGAAGCTCTCCGGGTCAAGGTAGCCCAAAGTTCCTTGGACAAACATGATGAACTCACTTTCGTTCATGGACTTCAGCGCTGATGCCCCAAAATCTGCAACCTTTGCATTGTGCTGACCATCCAAAAGAATATTGGCCGATTTGAAATCCCCATGAAGGATTGTGCGAGATGTTGATGAGTGCAGGTACGCTAGAGCTTCTGCTGATTGTGTGGCTATTTTCAGGCGAATGTCCAAGGGGATTGGTGATCTATGATCAGTGCCATGGAGGAACTCAGACAAGGTCCCATTGGAGACAAACTCGTAGACCAACATGGGGACATGTACATCCAGGCAACATCCTATCAACCTCACAATGTTTCTGTGGTTGATCTGTGACAAGATTATTATCTCATTGACAAATTCTTCCCTCCATTCATCGTTAATTACTTTGGACTTCTTTATGGCTACCTCTTTGTTGTCATCCAAAGTTCCTCTGTAGACCATTCCGTGACCTCCAATTCCAAGAACTCGATCTTCACTGTAGTTGTCAGTGGCCTTTTTTATATCTTTTTCAGTGAGTATGCGGATTGTGTCTACCTTCCTTGATCTCATCTCATCATATAGCTTTAGACCTCCATTTTGCTTGAAATACTCATCTTTGTCCTTCTTATGCCTTTTCCTTTGTATTTGCATGGCCAACACGCATGTCAAAGCCATTAGCGCAATGGCCGAAACACTGGTGCCTGTAAAATTCTCTTTCAGAATATTGATACTAATAATTTTCTGCTCCAAATTTGTTAAAATTTATTTTTATCGACAATTCTAGGTAGTGTTCAAAATTACTTTCAGAAGTAGTATTTTTCTTGCCACAATATGAGTGTTACTTTAGTAGAAGACGCATCTTATAATGTAGGTGAAACAGAAGTAAAATCTGCAGATGTGACGTTACCAATAACCACTTGCTCTGCTGTAGTACGCAGAGGTCGACATCCATAATTTGTACCATCAGATCTTTTTCCTAACTTGCATTTGCATAAATATCCTCCTGGTGTGTTGTGGCAGACTCCTTTCCTGCAAGGATATATATCTTCATACTTGGGATCCTGCTTACGTAATGCGCACTCATCCACGTCTGAAGACAGAGACAAAAAGCATGCATTCAGAAGTCAAACTAAACTTGTGTAAGCTAGTCTGTATTACTTTCATTATCATAGGTAAACTAAAATCAACCTAATCTACTTATAAGAATGCTATAACTTGCCTTTCATGACTTGTTCCAAAATAACTTTTCACTATTTAATTAAAAATCCGCAATACAAATGAAGCTGACTGTTTCTTTTTCCAGTCCCATGCTGAATTATGCTGGAAACCAAAGAGAACTGCTGCCTATTGACTGAAAATAACTTTTCACTATTTAATTAAAAATCCGCACCACAAATGAAGCTGACTGTTTCTTTTTCCAGTCCCATGCTGAATTATGCTGGAAACCAAAGAGAACTGCTGCCTATTGATGAATGTTCATAATATTTTGAACTATATCTTACACACTCTAGCTGAACAAACACTGAGCACGCCATAGAATTCTACCAGTTTTGTTTCTCAAAATCTAAACCAATGGTAAATTTGAACCTAACCTTGGCAGCCGTTCAGAAGATAAGGGTTGCCCTCATACCCTTTGGAGCACTGGCATAAGTACCCTGGACCATTGTTCGCGTCCATGCAGTAGCTGTTTGCGCTGATGCACGCATAATCACCAGGTATGCCTTTCCCCTCTTCCGGGCATGAGCCATTCCTAATGGCCCAATCAGCCACAACAGGTGCTCCCCTCTGAGCTCTGTCATCTATGAACCCAAGGTGGCCAACAAGGTCCTTCTGCTGGAAGCTGTACCACCCAACCTCACTGACCATGGCATAGAAACACGGGTTGAAGCTCCATACCTTGCTCTGGTTCATCTCAAACATCGCCCCCCAGGCGGTGAGGTCAGTCGGTATGGCGGCCTCGCAGCAGCCCATCCCTGCACATGGCGCCCCATCAGATGTGCTGTTGATGCTCTCACAATAGGAGTAGCAACCAGTCACATAGTGGCTCACGGTTCCCTTGTAGCCACCGATGAGCCCCAGGGTGTTGCAACCGATGACCGTGAAGCGGTTGCGTGACGGGGAGGGGAGGAAGGGTGTGTGCTTCAGCTCATACCCTTCGGTGAACCTGGTGAACGTGGTATTTGCCGTGAAGCAGATGTAGTAGACAGGGCTGAGTACCCGCATCTCGCCGTGCTCCAGTGAGATGTCAGTGACCTCGACGAGTGCTTCAGAGTCCCCAACCATAGGCCGTGGTGGGTTGAAGGTGTTGTTGCAGGTGAGATTGAAGTAGCTGCTGATGCTGGTTGCAGCACAGCTGGGGCCGATGCCGAAAGGGTAGGGGATGGAAATGTTTCCGCACTTGTCAGGGCAACCTGGCAACGCCATACTGTACCCAGAAGAAGCTGCAGCCTGCGCTGTCACTGCAAGGAAGATGATGCTTGGTATGAGCTTCATTGCAAGGGCTAATGCTTCTTGCATGGCTGGGTGCTTTGGGGTCACTTGATCTGGGGTTGTGTAAGTAGCTACACCTGGCTTAATACCATTTACTCAGTGTACTTGTATGAAAATTGCATATATACCTATTTTGGGGGAAATATTAAAACTGGATATATCCCTGTTCAATTCTGATGTATATATGCACATGCTAGAAAGGATTAAATAAATATGAAGTAGGTAGTGATTGCAATACATGATGTGCAAAATACATCCATCTGCAAATTGCAGAGAAAAATGGAACCGGACTTACCTCTTATGATTTATTTCCTCTAGTCCCCATTGCAAGTAGTAAATTTACGATGTATCCATCTGCAAATTGCAGAGAATAATGAACCCAGACTTGACTCTTATGATTTATTTCCTCTGATTCCCATTGCACGTTGTAAATTTATGATGTACTATTAGAGAAATTTCCAACCATACCAGTAACTATCATGAGTGTGTACGTGAACAGCGCAAGTTGCCACGGATAATTCAACCTTGATATTGCCCTACTTGGTGGGAAACTGGAAATTGAATACTAATCCAGAGGAAAATTCCCCCTCTTGTACAGTTTCTTTAAGAAAATGGAAACCAAAAACAAAATCAGATTTAAATCCATACCATTATTTCGTGCCGCAGGATGGATGGAGACATGAGAGGGAGAGAGAAAGCAAACCATCTGATCTGGTGATGTTCGCCGGCGATGGGACGAAGGGGGAAGCTACGCCTGCGACGCATTCGGTCAGGTTCGCCGCCTCCGGAGCCTTCTACTTGCTCCTCCGCGCGACCACGGCCGCACCGGAGCTCGCCTCCTTGCCGGCGCGCCGTCTTGCTCGCCGGCTGGGTGCTGCGGCGGGACATCGCCGTCGACGGCGGCGGCGCGGTCGCCATGGCTTCGATGGGGATCCCGACTTCCCTGAGGCCCATATAAGTTGGGCCAGAACGAGATCTCGATCACGTGCGGCCCAATAACAGGATCACACCCTACGTGCGGAATGGACTTTCATGCGGCCCATTTATTATGGGGAATGGTACAAGATGGTATCCCATTTGGATGGGTTGATACCTGTAAGATATCATCTCGTCCTGTATCAGTTGATACCTCAAAAGTATCATCCCGTCCGAACAGGATACCATCCTATAGCATTTCCCAAAATAAATAGGTTTTACGATCTATTTTGGACTATAAATTAGTTCACGGTTAGTCACCTTAGTTCTGCAACTCAAAACAGTAGGAAAACTGCAAAAGAGAATAAATTGTGACGGCTTGTTCAAGAGTTTAGATGATGGAATTGATAGTGAGATTAGTATGATAATTTGAGCATTGTGACGAAAACGAAGTTGGAAGATTTTTTTTTCTGTCGAAAAGAGACAGCTACAGGAATTTGTTTCCGACGAAAAGGGACTGCAGTGCAACTCACGGACTAGTACAGATCCTATCATTTGTGACGGGCTCAATTATGCCTATACTACTTGGGCCGTCAGAACGAAGTCATCTCAATCGGGCTTAAATTTGCACCGTTGTAGATGTACTCACTTTAGGCCCAAGTACATATAGCCCGTCACTGATAACACTCATCTGTGACGGGCAAAGATTTAGGCCCGATTGAGATGACCTCGCATATCTCAATCGGGCCTAGACACCGAGCCCGTCAGAGACGAGGGTCATCGGTGACGGGCTCCAAATATGGCCCGATTGAGATGACTTTAAAACCGTCACCGATGACTCATATCGGTGTCGAGCTTTTGTTGATGCCCGTTAGAGATAACTTTTACTTAGGTCATTTTCTATATAACTTTTTTTAACAGTTTGAGTTTGAATTTGAAAATATGACAATTTCAAACAATATTTTTAAATACTAAATAATTTCAAATAAAAAAATTATCAACAACAAAGTTGTATAACATACCAATATTTATAACTTTTATTTTTATTTTGGTTATTTTTCTATATAACATTTTTTTGAATAGTTTGAATTTGAATTTGAAAATATGACAACTTCAAAACAATATTTTCAAATACTAAATGATTTGAACTAAAAAAGTCATCAACAACAAAGTTGTATAACTCATCGAGATCTATAACTTTTATTTTGGTCATTTTTCTATATAACGTTTTTTTGAACAGTTTGAATTTGAATTTGAAAATATGACAACTTCAAACAACATTTTCATATACTAAAAAAGTCATCAACAACAAAGTTGCATAACTCATCAAGATCTATAAGTTTTATTTTTGTCATTTTTCTATATAACGTTTTCTTGAACAGTTTGAATTTGAATTTGAAAATATGACAACTTCCAACAACATTTTCATATACTAAATGATTTCAACTAAAAAAAGTCATCAACAACAAAGTTGTATAACTCACCAAGATCTATAACTTTTATGTTTGTTATTTCTTCATCCGACAAAGTGCTAGTAACATTGTTCACAAAATTTACATATATGTGTTATAGTTTATAAAACTAGATAAGATATGTGAATTTTGTGAACAATGTTACTATTACTTTGTCGGATGAAGAAATGACCAAAATAAAAGTTATAGATCTTGATGAGTTATACAACTTTGTTGGTGTTGACTGTCACAGTTGAAATCATGTTAGTCTTTGAAAATGTTGTTTGAAGTTGTCATATTTTCAAATTCAAATTCAAACTGTTCAAAAAAAATGTTGTATAGAAAAATGAACAAAATAAAAGTTATAGATATTGATGAGTAATACAACTTTTTTGTTTATGACTTTTTCAGTTGAAATCATTTAGTATTTGAAAATGTTGTTTGAAGTTGTCATATTTTTAAATTCAAATTCAAACTGTTCAAAAAATGTTATATAGAAAAAAATACCAAAGTAAAAGTTATAGATCTTGATGAGTTATACAACTTTGTTGTTGATGATTTTTCCATTTGAAATCATTTACTACCCAAAAAATATTTGAATTTCCTATATTTTAAAATACAAATTTTATATAGTTCAATCAAACCCAGATGGAGAAATGACCAAAATAAAAATGGTAGATCTCAATGAGTTCTACAACTTTGTTTTTGATAGCTTTTTCATATGAGTTCATTTAGTATCATAAAATTTAATTCGAAATTTATTTTTTCCTAGAAGTCTGATTTGCCTCCTACTCATGATAATACTTGCTAAATATATATTTGATCCAATTAACTCGATTTGCTAGTGAAATATGTGATATGTGATTGTGGTTGTGTTATGTGAATGAATGTATATGAATAGGGGATGCTAGGGTGTGACATCCTGGCATAGGGCTTAATAAGATTAATAGAATACCCATACCAACAAATTCAATTTCTTTCTCGGAAGCCAATCTTCAAAAAACTATGAGGTTAAACGTACTTGGTCTAGAGCAATTCCCGATGGGTGACCTACCGGAAAGGCACACAAGTGAGGTTTGGATGGGTGACCGACCAGGAAGGCAAACAAATTTTTTTTTTGTGGATTATACTCATCTGTGACGGGCAATAATCTAGGCCCGTTAGAGATGAGAGTCATTCGTGACGGGCTATAATTTAGGCCCGTTAGAGATGAGAGTCATCCGTGACGGGCAATAATCTAGGCCCGTTAGAGATGAGAGTCATCAATGACGTGCTATAACCTAGGCCCGTTAGAGATGAGAGTCATCCGTGACGGGCTTTTGTGTTGGCCCGATTGAGATGTGTCATCCGTGACGGCCGGATGCCCGATTGAGATATTTTCTCACATCACTGACCTTTGCTTAGTGACGGGGGCCCTGCCCGAAAGAGATGATGCTTTAAGCCCGTTAGAGATGACCAATCCCGTTCTAGTGACGTTTGGTGAGAGGTTGTTTGGTAAATGGTGAGGAACAGCACTCCAAAGAAAACAAAAAAATGTGAAGAAAGCAAAAGAATTAGCACGACTGCCTCTCGAAGAAATTAGATTGACAGAAACAAATGGTTAGTACAACACAAGCCGAATGGCTGAAACTGTATGCTCTAAAACACTTCAATTTCAATAAAATGGAAAGAATGACTATAACATCAACAGAACTACATCCTACTACCTCATTACACAGACAAATTCAAGTGAAGTTGCAGCATGTTGCAAGATGTACTGTCATTCGCTCAGAATAAGGTTAGACGTTTCTATGCTGCTATCTGTCATCTCATCAAAATGAAGGATCACTGACGGCGATCCTCCAAAATTGTCATGGACATCACGATCGTTTTCGCCATCACAGGTTGCCTGCATCTGGAGCTTCCTCAGCATCTGTAGTCTCTCTGCGACTTCCTTCATCGTTGGCCGGTCATCTCCTCTCGGGCTCATGCATTGCACAACGACTTTGGTAAGCTTCTCGATCGCCACCACATTGGAGCCATCCACAATTTCAGGGTCTAGCATGGCTTGGTGTTTGTTCTGCCGAAACATCGACAGAAATCTGTACGACAGAGATTCATTCTTGTTGAAATCATTGGTGTATAAGGCTTTCTTTCTTGTCAAGAGCTCCAGAAGAACCACACCGAAGCTGTAGACATCGCTCCTCTCGGTCAGCTGATGGCTGGTAAAGCTCTCGGGGTCAAGGTAGCCCATCGTCCCTTGGACGAACAAGATGAACTCGCTTTCATCCATGGACTTGAGGGTTGAAGCTCCAAAGTCTGCAACCTTTGCATTGTACTGATCGTCCATCAGGATATTGGCTGATTTTACATCCCCGTGCAGGATTGTGCGAGATGTTGATGAATGTAAGTAAGCTAAAGCTTCTGCTGCTTGAGTGGCAATCTTCAGGCGTAGATCCAAGGGGATTGGTGATCTGTGGTCAGTACCATGAAGGAACTCAGATAAGGTCCCATTGTGCGCAAACTCATACACCAACATCGGGACATCCACATCCAAGCAACAGCCTAGTAACCTCACAATGTTCCTGTGATTGATTTGAGACAAAATTATTATCTCGTTGACAAATTCTTCCCTGCAATCATCATTGATTACTCTGGACTTCTTTATGGCAACCTCTTTGTTGTCATCCAGAGTTCCTCTGTAGACCATTCCATGGCCACCAGATCCAAGAACTCGATCTTCGTTGTAGTTTTCAGTGGCTCTCTTTATCTCTCTTTCTGTAAGTATACGGATTGTGTCAACCTGCCTTGATATCATCTCATCATACAACCTGAGTCCTCCATTTTGTTTGAAATATTCAATTTTCTCTTTCTTGTGCCTTCTCCTTTGTAATTGCATAATCAACATGCATGCCATAGCGGTTACCACAATGGCAGAAACACTTAAACCTGAAAAAAAATATATACTAAGTTTGAGTTCCTCTTATTCCATGTTCATGCATAGGACATAAATTAAACAAATTGAGAATGCCACTTGAATATTAAGAATATCTTAAATAGATGGGACATGCATTGCATATTAAAAATGTTTAGATTATACAGAGCTGCAAACAAAACTGCACTAGAGCATTCATTATTAGTTTTCCTATTCAGTAGGAAGTCAATTTATATAATTTGTTTGTCATCACAAGAAACTGATCCTTAGATGTTCACTTATGAAACTCTGCAGACACTTATTTATGAAGATGAAACAACGGTGAACTGTTATATACACGGCGCTCACCTACAACCATTCTATAGTCTGGAGAATCCGCAGGTTGGCATCCATAACCTGTACCATCAGACTTTTTTCCTTTCTTGCATTTGCATATGTAGCTTCCTGGTGTGTTCTGACAGACCCCTTTTCTGCATGGATATAATTCTTCATACTTGGGGTCCAGCTTACGCATCTCACACTCATCTATGTCTGAAGATACCAAGAACAATATAACCACTCAATAAAATCAAACAAAATACGAGTTCAGTTCAGCCTACTAAATCAATGTTTAATAAGTAACAAAATTCAAGTAAATTTGAGTAATTGCTGAACCTTGGCAGCCATCTGAAAGATAAGGATTTCCCCCATATCCTTGTGAGCAGTTGCACAAATACCCTGGACTATTTATCACGGCCGTGCAATAGCTGTTTGCACTAACGCAGGCATAGCTGCTAGGTTCTTTTTCCCCCTTCTTTGGGCATGAGCCATTCCTAATGGCCCAGTCAGCGACAATAGGAACACCATTCTGGGCTCTTTCCTTGATGAATCCGAGGTGACCAACAAGATCCTGCTTCTTGAAATTGTACCACCCGACCTCGGCGACGACAGAGTAGAAGCAAGGGTTGAAGGTCCACACCTTGCTGTGGTTCAGATCAAATGTCACGGCGAAGGCAGTGAGGTTGGCAGGTATGGAAGCCTCACAGCACCCCATCCCGGCACACGGTGCCCCATCAGAGGTGCTGTTGATACCCTCACAGTAGGAGTAGCACCCAGTCACGTATTGTCCCGAGGCACCCCTGTAGCCAGTGATGAGCCCCAGGGTGTTGCAACCGATGACCGTGAAGCGGTTGCGCGACGGCGATGGGAGGAAGGGAGTTCTGCTCAGGTCATACCCGACACCACTGGACTTGGTGGATGTGGTGTTCGACGTGAAGCAGATGTGGTTGACAGGGCTGAGCACACGCATCTCGCCTCGCTCCAGTGAGATGCCGGTGACCTCGATGTGTGCTTCCGGTTCCCGGATTTGTGGCCTTGGTGGATGAAAGGTGTCATTGCACATGAGGTTGAAGTAGCTGTTTAGGTTGGTCGCAGAGCAGTTTTCTCCAATGCCAAAAGGGTAGGGGATAGCCACATTGCCGCACTTGTCCGGGCAGCCCGGCATCGCCATGGCACCGTCCACCGGCATTGCCAACTTCAGGAAGAGGGCCATTGGTATCAGAAACACAAGCAGCTGTGCATGCGCCATAGCTGGCTTACCTAGCAACAAGAATCTATGGCTATCCCTTCTTTGCCTATCGTGTTATCTTCTTCTTGGGATGAACTGATGTATGCACACTAGAATAGTTTAAATAGATGTATGAATTAGGTGTGGTTCTCTTTAATCTGTTATTAGTCATCCATCACAATCCAAGCAAGTCAAGATGCAAGCAGATATATCCAGCTGCAAACTTGGAATTGAAAAATGGGCTGAGTTGACTCTTAATAATTTGCTCTAGTCCCCATTTGTAAATTGTGATTGGCTAGAGAAATTCAAACCCTACAAGTATCTATGACTAGTGTTATCATCCGTACGTTAATACGCGCTCAGATTCAGAGATTTCAACCTTGATGTTTCCCTACTTTTTGGCAAACACATCAGCCTGTACGATAATACGCGCTCAGTTGCAGAGATTTTCAACCTTGAAGTTTCCTATACATGGCAAATTAGTAGCTTGGTGGAAATTGCCCGAGTTGAGTAGAAAATCCCCCAATTTCTTTTTGTGGTGTACGATGAACGGAGACAGTGCAGAGAGGGAGAGAGAAGCAAACCAAACCACTGGAAGATTCGCCGGCGATGGGGGCGGCGGCGGCGGCGAGGCTATCGCCGTCGACGGGGGCGGCGACGGCGGCGAGGATTGCCGGCTTCAATGGGGATTGCGGCTTCCGCACGTGCGGCCTCATACTAGTTAGGCCCAGAACGAGATCTCGATCACGTGCGGCCCAAGAACAGGATTACACCTCACGTGCGGCCTTAAAAAAAGTCCACATTAACTCCCTCCACTTGAGGGACTCGAAATGGACTTTTTTGATATTTCGACTTTCGTGTGGCCCAACTAATGGGATTGAGACCTTGCGTGAGGCTCATTGTTGTTGGGCCGGTTGATTTATGGGCCTTTTGTTTCTTCTCGGCGGCGCGTGGCTCTCCCGGCGCCGGCGCGCCGCCGCCGGCGGCCACTCTCCTCCCGCTCGCCGCAGCTGCTCTCAGATCTCCCCCTTACTGGGACTCGCTCCGTTGCTGCCTCCTCCCCATCCAAATCGTGGAGATCTTTCTTCGGGTATCAGGATCTTCCTTTGGGAAATCGACTGGCTCGCGACGGCGACGCGATCGGGGTCGGGTCTCCGGTGGCTGGCTGGTCGCGGCCCACGGTTGGATGGATTGACGGAGGGGAGGAGGGGGGAATCGGTGGTTCAGATCAAGCAAGCAAGCGAAGCAAGTTTCTTTCGGGCACCGGATGCGAACTCCGGAGTTCAGATCAGATCAGGTAAAAACCTGCTTCAGATGTGTCACCACCTTTACATTTCAGGGCCTAATGCTAATCAATCAATAGGATCGATATGCAAGAGAATGAGATAATCTAGATATTTGAATTAGTAGATTACACTGGTAGCATCATTTCCTTTTGCCATAGACGAAATGGTTTTTAATTGGTCATTCATACATGTTATGTTACCTGGACATGTGGAATCTGTTGAAACAGGCATTCTTGGATATGGTTTGATACTTTGATGGTGTAGTTTGATCTGATTAACAGATAGTGAAAAAAAATCAAAATGTTCTATTTTTAATAGTTCATCATTATGACTGAAAACATCACTTCGCATAGTACGTCATAGTTGATGAGAATTGATGTGCAATTATACATTCTACATACTACAGCTGTGTTAGCCATAAGAAAGAATTAATATACATAAAGAGTGACCTTGCAACACCAGAAGAAACTTATTACTCTACTCGATGAAAGGAATATACTGTTCTCATCTTGCAATATCTGCATCCAGTACCAGCTTGGCTGTCTCCATGCTCTGGTATTTCATCGGGTCTGATGGAATACGCATTGATGATCCTTCATACGAGCAAGAAACTCTGGTAGGACTCGATTTTGAGACAAGCTGCATGTGGAGTCTCCTCAACATTTGTAGGCGCTCTGCAACTTCTTTCATCGTTGGTCTATCATCTCCTCTTGGGTTCAGGCAATGCATGGCGAGTTCAGCTAGTTTCTGCAGTACTACCATAACTTTCTCGTCTATCATGTCAAAATCCAACATATCACAGTGCCTTTTCTGGTGGAACATCAAGGGGAAAATATGAGATAACGCCTCATTTCCATTCAAAGTATCATTGTACAGAGCCTTCTTTCTGGTCATGATCTCTAAAAGAACAACTCCGAAACTGTAGGTATCGCTTTTGTCAGTAAGATGGTGACTGACAAAAGTCTCAGGGTCAAGGTACCCAAGAGTTCCTTGGATGAACATGATAAAATCATTTCTATCCATGGATTTCAGTGTTGATGCTCCAAAGTCTGCAACTTTTGCATTATATTCATCATCCAGTAGGATATTGAGTGATTTAACATCCCCATGCAGAATTGTGCGAGACGTTGATGAATGAATGTAAGCAAGAGCCTCTGCTGATTGTGTAGCAATATTCAGTCGAAGATCCAGTGGGATTGGTGTTCGGTGATCATTGCCATGAAGGAACTCAGAGAGGGTTCCGTTGGAAACGAACTCATACACCAACATCGGTACATCTACCTCCAAACAGCAACCAAGTAACCTCACAATGTTCCTATGATTAATTTGTGACAATATTATTATCTCATTGACGAATTCTTCTCGGCAGTCATCGTCAATTACTTTGGACTTCTTTATGGCAACTTCTTTGTCACCATCCAAAGTTCCTCTGTAGACCATTCCATGACCACCACATCCTAGAACTCGATCATCGCTATAGTTCTCTGTTGCTTTCTTGATTTCCTTCTCTGTAAGTATAAGAATGGTGTCAACTTGTCTTGACCTCATCTCATCAAATAGTCTAAGACCTCCATTTTGTTTGAAATACTCCTCCTTTTCTTTCCTATATTTTCTTCTTTGTAATTTCATGACCAGCAAGCATATCAAAGCCATCAGCACAACTGCGGAAACACTGAGACCTGCAGAATGATTTTTCAAGATGAATCAACTCATCGTAAACCTGAAAAAGCTCATTAGTTTCACCCAAAGGTATACTCTCTGAGTCTCATTAAGTCCTTACCTGCTATCACTCGTTCAACTTGGTTAAGCACAGTTTGACATCCATAGTTTGTTCCATCTGGCCTTTTACCTACCCCGCATTTGCACAAATAGTTTCCTGGTATGTTCTGGCACATCCCATGTCTGCAGGGATATAGCTCTTTATACTTGGGATCCTCCTTACGCAACTTGCACTCATCTATGTCTGAATAGAATTGAAACAGACAAGTATGTATTTGGGATAATACAATCAAAGCTTGAACTATTTTGGCTTGTTACGGAAGCTGAAAAAAAGGTACTCCCTCCGTCCCAAAATATAACAACTTTTAGCACTTAGGATTTGTTACAAAATATAGCAACTTCTTCACCAACATTCCATTCCCAACCAATCACAACCCTCCACCATTCACTTTTCCCACCTACCTCCACTTTTCAACCAATTACAACCTCTTCCTATTTAATTCTACACACTTTCTTAATAACCGTGTCTAACTCTAAAACTACTTATATTCTGGGATGGAGGGAGTAACAAAAAGAATAAATATTACGCAGCAGCATTAAAACTGGCTATAATTATGTTCTGGTTATGTTGTTATTCCTGGAGTTGTTTATCTTGGTCTCCAAATATAATCTAGAGAAAGTTTATATGTATGTTACCTTGACAGCCTTTGGGAAGATAAGGATTCCCTTCATATCCTTCAGAGCATTTGCACAGGTACCCTTGGCTATTACTTGCTTGCACACACTTGCTGTTTGAACTGACACAGGCATAGTCTTTGGGCACCTTCTTCCCCTCTGGGCAGGAGCCATTCCTGATGGCCCAGTCATGGATGACAGGAACACCTCTGTTGGCCCTCCCATTGACAAACCTGAGGTGCCCAACGAGGTCTTGCTGCCTGAAGCTGTACCATCCGGCCTCCACAAGCATGGCGTAGAAGCATGGGTTGAATTCCCACACCGCGCTCTGGTTCATCACCAAGATCGCTGCGAAGTCCTTCAGGTCTGGGATGATGGTGGTCTCGCAGCAGCCCATCCCAGTGCAGGGAGCACCGTTGGATGTGCTGTTGATGCTCTGGCAGTAGGAGTAGCAGCCAGCCACATATAGATTAGAGTTGCTGTGCATGTAGCCACCAATGATGCCGAGGGTATGGCATCCGATGGCCATGAAGCGGTTGCGGGTGGTGGAAGGGACGAACGGCGTACCCTCCAGGGTGAACCCTGTGGTATGGTTCTCTGGTATGGTGGTGTTTGATGAGAAACAGATGTAACTGACTGGACCGTAAACGCGCACCTCGCCACGCTCCAGGGAGATGTCGATGACCTCTGTTTCTGATAGGAGGTCTCTAACCATAGGCCGTGGTGGCTGGAAGGTGTCGTTGCAGGTGATGGTGAAGTAGCTGCTCAGGCTGGTCGCAGAACAACCAGCGCCGATGCCAAATGGGTAAGGGATGGATACATTTCCGCACTTGCCAGGGCAGCCTGGCAATGAAATTGCAGGTTCAGAGGTGGTGGTTGATATCGCCATTGCATGGAAGACGATGAGCATGAGGAGAACGGATGCTTCTTGCATGGTTGCGGAGTTGGAGGTATGGTGATCACTTGCTAGTTGCTGTGGCACTATTTTTGAACCTACTTGTTCGTACTTCTGCATCTTCCATGTCTCTTTATTATGTGATTATATACTAGAGTACTAGACTGGGACAGGTGATACTAGCTCATGCTACTGCAACTTCCATGTATCTCTATTATGTGATTAACTATACTAGACTTGGACATGTAATAACGTTCATGCTTATGCAACTTCCACGTTGCTTTATTATGTGATTATCTATACTAGATTGAGACAGGTAATAGGGTTTTAAAGAAGTAAGGTCAACTCCTTTATTCCATTGCAGATGTTGTGTTTCTAATGCTGATCAAATGGATATTGTTACATATGAGTTGATTTCAACGATTGTTACTTAACTAGCTTTGGTGAGATCAGCATTTGACAGGAAACTTTACCTTGCATTCTGTTTTGCTTTAATTAAGAAGTGCATTCTGCAACTGAAAATACTTCCCGTACGTTTTCGGATTAAAAAAGCTATGCAGGCAACAATTACCCCGTACATTTCCCTTAATGTGAAAAATTTATTCATTCACCTGGATTGAAAAGCTCAGCTGGTGCGGTTGGTAAGTACTACTACATCATTTTGTGTTTAAAAGCTTAGTAAATCAGACATTTTGGTTCCTTAGCCGGCAAGAAAGTTGATGTTTATTTGAGTGATTTCAAAGGTGATGTTAAGGTTTTCTTTTCTTGTATGTAGTTGAAGTCAACTCTTGACTAAATTTGATATCCTTGACCTGAATTTGCTAGACTTTAGACTACGTGTGTGGCACTGTGGTGTGGTGACTAATCAATCAGTTCTCTTCCTTCCGCTATGTTGTGTGTTGTGTCAAGAGTTATTCTATGAACTTATCTGATGATTCTTTGCATTAGCTGTAGCACAATCTTACATTCTTATCATGGCTGAATGAATTGTGAATTCTCTTTTACTTTTGCATGATCTTTTTAGTACTTATAATTTCACTTTGATATATAGGTTCTTCCCAGCTCCCTACACATGAAGTTGTCTTGGAAGTTGGAACCACTGATGCTCTATGTAAGGCTGACTTAGTTAAGGGGAAAACGATGAAAGCTTCAGCTAATTAATCAGCTCCTAAATTCTGAGCACATATAAAGCCAACCCACACTATGGTTACCGAAGTTTCGAAATTTTAAGGTTCCGTTGTTTTTCCAATGTATACCACATTATTTGTATTGGATCAGAAAGAAAATTTCATTTCCACAAATAGTCATTGTCCGACTCCAATTAACACCGATGCCTGAATATCCCAGACAATTAGTGTATGAACTCTGAAATTGGGTATGAGTTCTGAGGTGTATATCTTCCTCTGAATTTTTTCCTCCACTTGTAATTTATAGATTATACTTCTAACAGTGATCAGGAGCACTGTAAATTTCTTACTTTGGATTACTAGCCATGGATTTGAATTTGATGCTCGTACTATATGCGGCACAACAAGTAGTCACTAATTAATAATAGAAATCAACCTGTACCAGGTACCTGATCTGACTATCTGGAGTGCAGCACACTAAAAATGAGGCTTCTGAAGTCTGAACTACGGATAGATGAAATTAAATCACACTAGAACGTTTGGAAATATATAACAAGTGCATGACTCGATCTCTGTGGTTTAAACATGCATATGGGCTGACATGGAAGAAATCAAGCTGCACAACGTTGATGACCTTACTGAAACTTTAATATTTAGATAGATACATATGCAGCCTGTTCGACCTAGGCATATAAATGGCATGGTACTATAGTACATGGAAGCAAATAAATATACGTTAAGTTTTTCGAGGGATTGGAGAAAACCAAATGTAACATTATTATTTTTCTAACTGTTTTTCTACTCAATTCTAGTGTAACTTGGTGTGGGCTAGTGTGGCTTCAAATTCTCTCTTGTCTAATCCAAAAAAGTCGAATCAGAAGCAATAAAACCAGTTTATTTTCTGTTTTTGAACTGATCTATTTCTTGCCATGCATAGTAAGAGTTATTATGTTAGGTTGGCATAATAAAAACAGTTATTATGTTAGGGTTGTGTTCTAGTTTTTTAAAATTTGTTTACACTAGTTAAGAAGAGAATAAGAGTATAACAAACATATTAGCGGGATTATGGCAATATACATATGAGACATAAGGCAACTATACTTGCTTTCCCTCATATTCAAATATTTTTCCCTTTTACACTAGTTAAGAAGAGAATAAGAGTATAACAAACATATTAGCAGGATTATGCCAATATACATCTGAGACATAAGGCAACTATACTTGCTTTCCCTCATATTCAAATATTTTTCCCTTTTGAATTTAGAATGAGAACAAAACAATGGTGGTTCTTTTCTTTGATTTACATCTCTCTTTTCTACCCGTGCACGATGCTGCAATGTGCAAAAATATAACCTGCAACCTAAACATTCATATATGGCGCAAATTCTAAGATATATATCCACTTCTGATAATTTCTTTTTCTGTCTCCATATGCATATTATACTTCTGGTAGTGATCAAGAGCTTGATGTGAATTTCTTAGTTTGAATTACGAGCCATGGATTCGAATTTGGTCCTCTTACTTCCGTAAGTTACTCACTGCTCATTAATCAACCTGGTACCAACTACCTGGAGTAGAGCACACTAAAACAAACGAGTCTTCTGATGAAGAAACGAATGAAATTAGATCACGGTGCGAGATCTATAAATAAATAACAAGCACATCACAACATATACATGAACAATCTCTTATGTTCTTGCCTCCTGTCCCCTCTCTCTCTCTCTCCCCTAAACAGAGAGCGGCCTACGAAATGGATTGACATGGAAGAAACAAAGCTGCACAAATTCGATGAGCTCTTGGTGAAACTAAATTGTAGTTTTGTTTCTTTCCCTATTGCAGCTTGCATATGAGACTCATCCAAATAGGGATGAAAAGGATCAGAAATGGTTAGAAACGATTTTTTTTTTTGCAAAATTTACCACAAAACACCCAAAATTTGTTAAAGTGGCAGCGTTATTACTGATGAACACCACAAAATCATATAATTTGTTATAGGACATCAAGGCAATATTTTATCATTTCTGGGTAAAAAAGAGAAGAAAGAAATTTAAAAAAGACAAAATCGCCCTAAACCCTATCTAATCCCCACAGGTGACAGGTGACTTCATCCTCGGTGACATCACCTGCTTTACAGTGCCGCTCGCTAACCGCCATAGAAGCCGCCGCCGCAGGGCTCACCTGCCGTTGTCAAAGCCGCTGCCAGCCACAGTCGAAGCCGCCGCCACCGGGCTTGCCAGCTGTCGTTGAAGCCGTTGTGGGCTTACCAGTCACCGTCGAAGCCACCGACACTGGGTTTGCCAGCCATCGCCGCCAGGTTTGCTAGTCACCGTCAAAGCTGTCGTCGTGGAGCTTGCCAATTGCCGTTGAAGCTGTCGCAGGGCTTATCGTCGCCGTCAAAGCTGTTGCCACTGCCGAACTTGCTGACCACCATCGCAAACGCCACCAGGCTAGCTAGCTGCCGTCCAAGCCACCGCCGCTACCGCCACCATTCGTGCCAATGGGGGTTAGATAGGGCTGGACAATTGTGTTTTTTGAATTTTATCTCTCCTATTTTTGCCTGGAAATGATAAAATATTGTCTCGAGTGTCCTATAACAAATCATACGAATTTTGTGGTGTCCATCAGCAGCGACACGATTTTACGATGTCTCCTAGCCAATTACACAAATTTTGTTGTTCTGGGATAAATTTTGCCATATATTTTTTTTATTTTTTCTGAAATGGTACGTAAATTTCTATATTTATGAAGTTGAATTTGTTTATCCATTAATTTGTTTTTTTTTTCGTTGCAAGATGTAGAAGTTGAATTTAAACTTGCATGTTTGTGGAGTGATATATCACATGTTAATACATCTTCTTAAATTTTTTCATAACAATTTGAGTGACATGCAAACAACGAGGGGATATCCCATCGAGGGATCAAAATCCACTCCGCATATATGTGTAAAGTTTTAGTACCTAACTTTGACATGTATTGTACTAGTTGATTAAACACTGAAATAAAAAGTCGACGCGGGAAACTACTCCTCTATGATTAATGCAGTCTAATTTTCAATATGAGAAGGTGGATTTGTAAGTTAGAATCAGGTGCTGCAAGCCTGCTAATCCATGCTGCCAGGAGATCGTAAGGTTCAGTAAAACACTTATAACATGACAGGAATCATCTCAACAGCTTAGTGCTAAGTATTGCGAAAAAGTGAAGGACACAGTAGCATTTTTTGTTTGGAAAAACCGTTGCCCATCATATATGCATGACCAAGAATATAATCATTTCTAGTCGTGTCCATCTCTCTACTCTTTCTGAAAGGTCATCTCGGCCACTTACATGCAATCGGGATGATATGGAAGAACAAAATCTGGATGACCTCTCGCTGAAACTATATTGCAGCGTTTAATTTCTGTTCAGCCTATGCTTATATATAAATAGTAAATCGAAGTAAATAAGTAAACATAAAGGATCAATCAACTAATGAGATCAATAATTATTTAGTTGTTTTTCAGACAATGTAAATAGTTATTTAGTTGTTTGGAGACATTGGAGAAATGCAAAGTAGCACCATGTTTCAATTGGGAGGACATTATCACTCTAATCAGACTTACTCTAATTCTGAAGGGGTGGAAGTTGTTCCTTTATCCCGTTAAGGAGGAGTGGAAGTGGAAGTGGAAGTTGTTAGATCTAGATGGTCATATTAATACCTGAATCAGACGTACTCTAATTCTGAAGGGGTGGAAGTTGTTCCTTTATCCCGTTAAGGAGATCTAGATGTTCATATTAATACCTGAATTTTAGGAGGAGTGGAAGTTATCATATCATATTAATACCTGAATTTTGAGTTAAGTTATTAAAAATGTATGTTTAATATATTTTTACTTCTCAATTTTTTTCTTAGTATTTATACATAAATTTAGATTTCATTTTGTGTAACGGCGAGAATACAAGCTTACAATATGTGGAGTATTAGTGCAACCTTTCTATTAGAATCACGTTGAGAATCGATGTGGTTTTCAATGTGAACTTAATCAGAAACTCTCATAACCAACCGCGTTAAACATGTCTCACTCAGATGGGAGATGTGTGAAGTGCCATCTCAAATACATAGTTCTAGCACAGTTTGAAGAAGTTAATTAGGAAGAAAACCATAAAAATTCTAGAAATTTAAACGGACCAAAAAGTAACTTATCCTGGGAGAGGACAGGTGATGCCTTTCTAGAACATTTAGCATAGTCGCAACTAATCAAGCAGTAGCAGTAGTCTACGTGCTCTCTAATCACATATTTTAGGTAGGAGGTGTGAATTGTTAAATAGGAATCAGCTACAGCAAGCATAATCTGACTGATAATTTGGGTGAATTGTTGCAACCACCACTGGTAAGTTCTGAGAGAGGCATTTGCATCAGCTGCAGCAAATTGGAAGTGGGAACTCAAAGCTATTTGCAGCAAGTTAAAATGTTTTACTGAATCAAAAATTACTCAATGGGGTTTGTTAAACTGATCCGATTTGAAGTTGCTTTTCAGGATGGAACGGATGAGGCTCTTGGACTCCAGTACTCCACATTGACATTGTCCTACCGTGGAGTTTAGAAGTCTTGATAACTTCAGGAGCCCCATCGGTTGTACTAAGGTCCCGTTCTTTTCTCTAACAAGGGCTGGATGAATATTAAGATTTTCGTGGCACACTTTTTAAACTGCTAAACGGTTCGTTTTGTGCGAAAATTTTCTATATGAAAGTTGCTCTAAAATATTATATTAATCTATTTTTCAAGTTTGTAATAATTAAAACTTAATCAATCATACGTTTATACCACCTCGTTTTGCATAAAAAACTTCATCTTCAAGAAAAAAGAACAACACCTAAAAAGAATTAAGACAAATTATGCCAAATTTATATTTTAAAATTCAATTTAGAAGATGATTTTAAAATATTTTAACATAGTTTTTTATTGACTTTAATTCGCTAAGAATACATGTATATAAAAATTTTCGTATAAATTATTTTTATCGCTAATAAATAAACCGTTAGTAACCGATGAGGCCCCAAATTGCCCATGGCTCGTCATTGAGGCCCATTTTCGTTGGGCCTGTTGAAAGCGTCAAATTAGATTACGTTTTGAAAACTAGAATACGCCCAGGCTATTCTCGTAATCCGCTCGGGTGACGGAATGGAGTCTCTCGCCCACATCGCCGGCCACACACCGCGGCGGCGTGGAGAGGCGGAGTCGCCGCCGGCGGAAAGCGGCCCCCCGGTCCGGCCCTTCCAAGACGAAGCCACGGACATGGGTCCGGTGGCGTGCCTCAGGTGGCGGCGGCGGAGATCGCCGGAGGACTAGCATTTCTTGGCAGTCGGGATTGGTGGCGGCGGTCGCAGTTTGAATCGGCGGCGGGAGGAAGAGACGCCGCCGCGTCATGGGGTGGGAGAGGACACGGGGCGCTCCAGCTCCAAAGCATTGCGACCTCAGGCGAGGTTATCAGGTAACTCTACTCTAGTTCTGAATCAAATCGGACTGCACAACTGAATATTTTTATTTATTTATTCGTTCTATTCAGAATGGCATCAATTCATGATCCCCAAGATTAGTTATTCGTCTTCATTATCTTACAAGATCAAAGCATCGTGGCTGCAGGCTAAGGGGAGCAAATCGAAGCATTTTATTTTTCAGGTAACTTTGCTTCTGAAATCTGATCAACTTGGCTGTATACAATTGAATATTTATTCAGAATAGAAGAGATCATTATTGCCACAAACAAGGAACAAATTGCTTAAACAATAATTACAGCAGTTGGCTAAACCAAGTAGTATTTACTATGGCATTCGCCAACACAAGAATTAACGTGCTGGTACAAGCTTCTTCATCATCTCACAAGATCATCAACCAATCTGGACGTTTCAATGCTCTCGTATATGGTCTCATTCAAGTGAACAACCATTGATGGCGATCCTTCATAGTTGTGATGTGCATAGCTGTCTCCTTTGTGATCACTAGCGCCGTGCATTGGGTGTCTCCTTATCATCTGTAGGCACTCTAAAACTTCCTTCATTGTTGGCCGGTCATCTCCTCTTGGTCGCAGGCAGTTGGCGGCAAGAATGGAAAGTTTCTCGAGCACAACCATGGTTTCTTTATCCATAATTTCTCTGTCCAGCATATTCCGGTGAATGTTCTGATCAAACATCAGGAGAAAAGAATAGGACAATGATTCCTTTTCATTGATGCTATTGGCATAGATTGCCCTCTTTCTTGTCATCAGCTCCAGCAGAACCACCCCAAAACTGTAGACGTCGCTTTTGTCAGTTAGACGGTGGCTAATGAAGCTCTCCGGGTCAAGGTAACCCAAAGTTCCTTGGACAAACATGATGAACTCACTTTCGTTCATGGACTTCAGTGCTGATGCCCCAAAATCTGCAACCTTTGCATTGTGCTGATCGTCCAAAAGAATATTGGCCGATTTGAAATCTCCATGAAGGATCGCGCGAGACGTTGATGAATGCAGGTATGCTAGAGCTTCTGCTGATTGTGTGGCTATTTTCAGGCGAATGTCCAAGGGGATTGATGATCTACGATCAGTGCCATGGAGGAACTCAGACAAGGTCCCATTGGATACAAACTCATAGACCAACATGGGGACATGTACATCCAGGCAACATCCTATCAACCTCACAATGTTTCTGTGGTTGATCTGTGACAAGATTATTATCTCATTGACAAATTCTTCCCTCCATTCGTCGTTAATTACTTTGGACTTCTTTATGGCTACCTCTTTGTTGTCATCCAAAATTCCTCTGTAGACCATTCCGTGACCTCCAATTCCAAGAACTCGATCTTCACTGTAGTTGTCAGTGGCCTTTTTTATATCTTTTTCAGTGAGTATGCGGATTGTGTCTACCTTCCTTGATCTCATCTCATCATATAGCTTTAGACCTCCATTTTGCTTGAAGTACTCATCTTTGTCCTTCTTATGCCTTTTCCTTTGTACTTGCATGGCCAACACGCATGCCAAAGACATTAGCGCAATGGCCGAAACACTGGTGCCTTTAAAATTATCTCTGTCAGAATATTGATACTAATAATTTTCTGCTACTAACTTCTTAAATTTATTTTTTATTGACAATTCTAGGTAGTGTTCAAAATTAGTATTCTTCTTGCCATAGTATTAGTGTTACTTTGAGTAGAAGAACATCCTAATGTAGGTGAAACAGAAGTAAAATCTGCAGATGTGACCTTACCAATAACCACTTTCTCGGCTGTAGTGCGCAGAGGCCGGCATCCATAATTTGTACCATCAGATCTTTTCCCTAACTTGCATTTGCATAAGTATCCTCCTGGTGTGTTGTGGCAGATTCCTTTTCTGCATGGATACATATCCTCATACTTGGGATCTTGCTTACGCAATGCGCACTCATCCACGTCTGAAGATAGCAACAAAAACATCCATTCATAAAATTCAGACCAAATTTGTATGAACTATATAATCTATATTAATTTCGTTATCATAGGTAAGCTAAAGTCAACCAGCCAATTTACTTAAGAATGCTATAACTCCCCTTTCAATACTTGTTCCAAAATGACCTTTTCACTTTGTAATTAAAAATCTACCCCACAAATGAAGCTGACTGTTTCTTTTTCCAGTCCCATGCTGAATTATGGTGGAAACCATGTAGAATTGCTGTCTATTGATGAATGTTCATATGATTTTGTAGAAGTATAGCTTACAAACTCTACCTGAATTAACACTGTGCATGGTATAGAATTCTACCAGTTTAAGTATGAACCTAACCTTGGCAGCCGTTCAGAAGATAAGGGTTGCCCTCATACCCTTTGGAGCACTGGCATAAGTACCCTGGACCATTGTTCGCGTCCATGCAGTAGCTGTTTGCGCTGATGCACGCATAATCACCAGGTATGCCTTTCCCCTCTTCCGGGCATGAGCCATTCCTAATGGCCCAATCAGCCACAACAGGTGCTCCCCTCTGAGCTCTGTCATCTATGAACCCAAGGTGGCCAACAAGGTCCTTCTGCTGGAAGCTGTACCACCCAACCTCACTGACCATGGCATAGAAACACGGGTTGAAGCTCCATACCTTGCTCTGGTTCATCTCAAACATCGCCCCCCAGGCGGTGAGGTCAGTCGGTATGGCGGCCTCGCAGCAGCCCATCCCTGCACATGGCGCCCCATCAGATGTGCTGTTGATGCTCTCACAATAGGAGTAGCAACCAGTCACATAGTGGCTCACGGTTCCCTTGTAGCCACCGATGAGCCCCAGGGTGTTGCAACCGATGACTGTGAAGCGGTTGCGCGACGGGGAGGGGAGGAAGGGTGTGTGCTTCAGCTCATACCCTTCGGTGAACTTGGTGAACGTGGTATTTGCCGTGAAGCAGATGTAGTAGACAGGGCTGAGCACCCGCATCTCGCCGTGCTCCAGTGAGATGTCAGTGACCTCGACGAGTGCTTCAGAGTCCCCAACCATAGGCCGTGGTGGGTTGAAGGTGTTGCTGCAGGTGAGATTGAAGTAGCTGCTGATGCTGGTTGCAGCACAGCTGGGGCCGACGCCAAAAGGGTAGGGGATGGAAACATTTCCGCACTTATCAGGGCATCCTGGCAACGACAGACTGTACCCAGAAGAAGCTGCATCCTGCACTGCCACTGCGAGGAAGATGATGCTTGGTATGACCTTCATTGCAAGGACTAATGCTTCTTGCATGGCTGGGTGCTTTGTGGTCACTGGCTTTGCCATTTACTCAGTGTACTGGTATGAAAACTGCATATTTATACCTATTTTTTAGGGAATATTAAAATTGCATATATACCTCACAGGCTCAGTCTTAAATCAACAGGATAATACTGGTTTATCTTGGTCATTTCTTGCCACCCAAGTCAATGCAAATTTGGAGTATAATACTAGTTGGATTTAGTTATATGTAGAGATGTTTCCAAGCATGTTCATATATATGGGATCAGCGTAAGCAAACATGTACAGTGACTTTCATGCAATTTTGTTTTGGTTTAACTATCTGAAACTGAGGGATTCGTCTCTCTTCTTCCAAGAAAACAAAAACGCGCTTTCGACAAATAAGAATCTGACTTTTAAATGCAGTTTTGTCAAGAATTAAATCATGCAACAAGCAACCCTTGGTTTGGTCAATGGTCTTCTTATTCTTTATCATATATTGCAAATCAGCAGTTTATTTTGTAAAGATTTCCATCGTTTTTGTTTCGTTGCAGGAACTAAATATTTTTTCAGTGACATGTAGGAGAAGAAATTCAATTCAAACCTGCGCTACCGATCCATGGTCAATGTTGCTATCTTTGAATGTGATAGTGTGAGAATTGTTAATTTGGATCAGCTGTGGCAAGCACAACTGCTACAGAATGTGTTGGGTGTTCTGAAAGAGGCATTGCATCAGCTGCAGCAAACTGAAAGTGTCAAGTTACTTGCAGCAAGTTGATATGTTTTAAGGTAAAACCTCCACTGTGGATTCAAACAGAACTTGATGGGGGTGCTAACTGTTTAAGCTTTTCATATTAACAATGTTATGATGAAGCCTTAATCTTTGTAACATGATCTGATCCTTGTATGATCAATTTGTTCGATCTGAAGCACCATAGATTCATAATGCATAAATATGTTATCGTTTGAATAAGTGATAGTTTTATTGATACTATGTATATCGTTTCTTGATAGTTTTCTAATACAATCATTTATTATATGAAAAATCATGAGAAAACAAGTTGATCCAAGCAAACAAACAAACATATGGAAGAATAAAAATTTTGTCAGGAATGAATTGATCTCGAAAAGTAAAAAAGAAAAAGAAGAGAGAAGTTATCCATCTAGCTATTTGAAGCTGTATGAAATTCTTATACTTTGCATTGTGCTACTGTCCTAGTACATTAGTCTGAACTCTGAAGTTGGGCATGACTTCTGTGATGAATATCTTCCTTTGATTTTTTTTCCCTTCACTTGTATACTTCTAACAAAGATCAGAAGCAAATATATATTCACTTCTCACTACTCACTATTCACTACTCACTTCTATTCCGTACATATTTTTTTTTTGGCAAAATTGGTTATATAGCATCGAAAGTTCACGTTTTTGGTTTTATAGCACCGAAAGTTACCGGTTCACTTTAGTAGCATCCAAAGTTCACCCTATTCCCATTTTTAGCACTTCCGTCAATTTTTCCGTCCGTCTTGATCGTTATTGATCCAGCCACACACATGATATGACATTTCTACCCCTCATTGACATGCATTATACTTGTACTTGTGAGGGGTAGAAACGTCATATCGTGTGTGTGGCTGGATCAAGACGGACGGAAAACGATCGAGAATTGACGGAAGTGTTAAAAATGGGAACATGGTGAACTTTGGGTGCTATAAAATGAACCGGTAACTTTCGGTGCTATAAAACCAAAAGCGTGAACTTTCGATGCTATATAACCAATTTTGCCTTTTTTTTTCTTTTAACTTGATGCAAATATATATTTTCCCTTTCTGAATTTAGACCAACTCACATATTTATCCAGAACATCCGAACAGAAACAATGTGGTTGTTTGGTTGTTTTCTTTGATTTAATTGCATCTCCCTATCGATCTTTAAAAAATTGTGCACACTGCAATGTGCAAAATATATAACCCTTAATCTAAACACACTGATATGGGGCACGCGAGTTCGTGTATCCGCCTCTGATTTTATGAAGAAAACAAATCTTCTCAATCAATCACTGCAACAATATATGTACTTACTTCCAAATAATTTTGTTTTTACTAAATTATATAAGACCAACTCATATATGTTTAATCAACTACTTGTATATATTTGTCCGTCTATAATCGGCACGTTCATGACGATATGTACCGTCCGGAGAAGATACGAAAAATTCCTCGGAAAGAAAATGATACAGAATTCTGGAAATTATTTAATATGTTATACCACACCATTTCAGAGACAGCAAAGAAGTTTCCGTTGGAAAGAAAGACAAAAAAAAAGAGGAAATTCCAGAACCTCAGTGCCGTCGCAGAGCCGGACGATACCCATCGCCACCTATTTCTTCTCTTCTTCGTCTTTTTTTTTAAAAAAAAAGACTAAATTTTACTGTCAACTATCATTTAACTAATATTTTCACTTTTTTATAAATGAATATTTTCACTTTGGATCGAGTATTTTTTTTAGGCATTGTCAATAAAGTTTAGCTATGCATGTGTATACAACCTGTTGGCCGAAGCCGGTCGTTGCTCTTGTTCATCATAATCACACCAGTACAATATTTGGGGTAGCCTATCTAACTGTTGTCGACATGGCGGTCTGAAGGTCTGACTCGTAGTCGACAACAGGGTAGCCTTCCTCCTCGAATCCGCATCCGGCGAGATCAGAGACAGCGCTAGCGCTATATCTCTCCTGACGGTATCCGTAGGCACCATAGGGGACTGGCTAGTCTATCTCTGAAGTCGATATCCGGCGTCTTGTCTTGGCGTATGTTGGCTTGTATGTTGATCTTGTGTCTTGATCTATTGTTCCGTGTCCCCTCTCCTCCTATGGAGTCTTGTATTTATACCCATATGTCCTTTTGTCCAAGTAGAACTAGAGAAACTAATATGGATACAATCCGAGTAGTCCTTGTGGTTTCCATGTAGAACCCTATTCATCCTTCCTTATGCGGAACTCCTCCTATATCCGAAGGTTGTATTCGTATAAGACATGGTATGTAGTGGGTCCTGCCGAGATTTAGTCGACTACTATTATGTATATGGTATCTATAACCCTGACAGCATGTTTGTAGAATGATTTACGATAACTCAATGTGTGATGTGTTGATCTTTCTACAATTCTTCGTATATTTCCATTAGGTTTACCATGCAAAGAACATGATCTATGCTCAAATTGTTACTTTCTGTGTAGCAAAATCTGGGCAATATGAATCGTGAAATATTTATTTAATTACAAATAAAATAACAGCTAAAATTGTATGTAATGGTTGACTAATTTTTGAATGTGGCTTGCACGGATGCTCCTTTTTAATTATTGGTGCAAAGCGCAGCGGCCACGAAGTGGAGCAGCGGCTTAATCACACCGATATAGTTTGTCAGGCTCACATAGTGGAATCCAACTTAATCGATGAACCACTCTAAATAGTTGTCTATAACCTCTGGGAGAAAATAAGAAATGGTTGAGATTAAGCACTTTTTTTGTTTGGAAATAAACAAAGCTCATCATATATGCATGACCAATCTCCAACCATCTATATGTGTGACAGGAAGGAAAAGAAGTTACCCAATTTTGATGACCTTTTATTGAGAAGTAAAATTCAGATAATTTATTCCTGTTTCAGCCTTCATCTATATATCGGTCATTGAGCATATATAGGTGTGATTACCTATATCGTTGAGTACATAAATGCAATTATACATGTCTCAAGAGAGCCAATAGCCAAAGATTAGAATAGTGATGAATATGGGCTTAAGATGCACTTGTGCCGGGCCTTACATGGGCCGTCATAAATAGGCCCGAATGGTGCTGTACTACAGTGAACTGGAATAGAGGTCACAATTGCACATATGTCTTCCTCCCAGTCCCAAGTCCCCTCATCTAGACCATACTAAGCGATCATTTGCAAGCAAGAAAGAAAAAATACTTATAAATAATATGTTACACACTTCATATTTCTACATGGTTTCAATGTTTAGGAGTCTTGACTTTGAGCATTTGGATGGAAACAAAACAAAGGAAATTTGGTGGAATTAATTTTGTGGAAGAGAGATACTAGAGAAAGGGGAGAGTGCATGGGACTTCTTAAAGGAAATAAAAACATATAGCTGTTCATGTTTGTTTTCTCTTGGAAGGGGTACAGAAAGCAAATCTGTAGAACTTTTCTCAATCATATTCCCTTCATCCCTTGTTACAGTGGAGTTAATAGGTCGCAAAGGCTCCTTCGGATTGAAGGATTTTTAGAGGAAAATGGAGTATTTAAATTACTATAGAAATTGAAACTATTCGCTCATCGGAATGAAGGATTAGCATACAGGAAAAGTGGGAAAAAATTCCTTATTTACAGGTTTCACAATAAAAACACGGGAATTTAAAGATCAACAGGAACTTATTTTTCATTCTTTTGCTAAGTACAAGTCAAATCAATACTCAAAACTTTAAGTGGCTATATTTGAAAAGCAACATATATAAGCAAGTTTGTTTAATTTAATGTGATTGCTTAGAAAGATTATTACTCATTCCATCCCAAAGTATAAAATCATGTTCTTTCTTCAACTCTAAACTTTAACTTAATTGTTTTTCATTAGCATATGCTTTTTAAACTGTTAAATGGTGTGTTTATGAAAAAAAAAATCTATATAGAATTTAAGTTGTTTAAAAAGTCGAGTAAATATATTTTTCAATAATGTTCTCTCGATCCCAAAATGTAATCATTTCCAGCTATGAATATGGACAAGCATCTATCCAAATTTATAGAAAATTTATTATATTTTAGTACGAAGTTAGTAATCTATAGATAATTAGTCATGTGTTAGTACCTACTCCCTCCATCCCATAATATAAGGAATTTTGAGTTTTTGTTTACACTCTTTAATTACTCGTCTTATTCAAAAAAATTTGAAATTATTATTTATTTTTTTGACTTGCTTTATTATCCAAAGTACTTTAAGCATAACTTTTCGTTTTTTATATTTGCACAAATTTTTTGAATAAGACGAGTGGTCAAACAGTGCAAGCAAAAACATAAAATCTACTCCCTCCGTTTCAAAATGTTTGACACCATTGACTTTTTAGCATATGTTTGACCGTTCGTCTTATTCAGAAAAATTTGTGAAATATGTAAAACCATATGTGTACATGAAAGTTATACTTAACAATGAATCCAATGATAGGAAAAGAATAAATAATTACTTAAACTTTTTGAATAAGACGAACGGTCAAACACGTACTTAAAAAGTCAACGGTCAACGGTGTCAACCATTTTAAAACGAAGGGAGTATTATATTATGTGACGGAGGGAGTAGCTTTCTCGTTTCTCGTTTCGCCTATGTTAAAATATTCCGAAATCCCTTGGGTACAAAAGTAACCGATCTTGGCATATGGGATGCATTGGGATTGGCATATTTGGCACGAAGAAGTTGTGCCGGGTTCATGGCTTGTGTCATCGATTCATCGCATCAACACCACACTACGCCTACGGAGTCCTCCTACTTCAGGACTTATGCGTAGCCCTGCATCCACCATAAATGTGTGCGAGCAGCTTTCTGTGGCGGCCGGCGACGATCGACGTGATGGCGACGATTAGGAGGAGCAACACGACGATCACAACATGCTACTCCGTCCGTCCCAAAGTATGACAATCTTTTACTGGATGGAATATATCCTAGTATAACGAATCTGTACATAGATGTGTCCTATCCTGTAAAGTGTTGCTATAGCACAGTATAGTGATCTGATCCATCGATCAGAGAGAAGCAGCTGATCTCTCCAATAGGCCGAACCATCTGACACCACGACCTTGATTACTGTAAATTTTCCTCCATTTCTCTGCTTCGCTAGCTGGAGTAGTAGCTCACTGCATGCGGCCATGGCTACTGGCTGTACTCGCTGTAGCTGATCATCCGCAGGATGCTGGTCTTTGCACTGCATGGTGCTGGTAACAATAGTAGTAGCCC